AGTGCCCCACCTTCCGGAAATTTTCTGAAAACAGCCAAAAGCGGGGGGAAAGAACCCCATTAGAAAGCCCAAAGAGCACCATGCGCCCAAGCCACTAGGCTCGCGCCTTAAAGAGGTATGCCAAATTCCAGGCAGCTGAGCGGCGGATCACAACCAGGTCGGTCCTATGGCAAAAGAGGCGGACGCTCGAGACAAGCATCCGTCCGTATCCGCCCCTGGATTTGTCATGGAAAAATCGGCAAACCCTGCAAAATCGCCAAGTGCAGAAAAGGATAGCCTAAAAACCACAGTCATGTCAATGTACTCATGGGGCTTGAACAGTACATACCGGCTTGGCTATTTGGTATCACACCATGGGTGGATGAGAAAGCAACGGATTCGATGGACACGTTCTCCCGACCGTGGGGAAGGCCACCTGAGACACTGAAGAGTAAAGAAGGATCCAAGTCCTTCCACGAAACGTGAAGCAAAGCTGCACCTCTGGTTTCTGTGCTTGTTCGTTCCGCAGCTGTTCGTTCCGCAGCTGCTGGTTTGACATTGACATTGAAGGCAGCACGTCCAGACCCTGAGCCAAGTCTTAGTCTATGCTTACCGCATCCACCATGAGACAATATTGCTCAATCAGATTTCACCGCGGTCTCCATAAAAAAAGGGACACCTGTTGCTCTCGCAAGCGGCGAAGTGGCGAAACGTAACCCTATGAGCTGCCCAGGGGTTTGGTGGCGGCCCCACCTGCAGCTCTCTGCCTCGGAAAGGCCTCAGCAAGAGGTGCCAACATGGAATCCATCCATGTTCAGCCAGTGATCAGTTGAAAGAGTCAGCGCAGTGGATGGATTGAACTGCGCCTGTCTCTCTCTTCCTTTCTCTCCCTCTCTCTCTCTGTCTTTCTTGTGAACAGGGTGAATTCAAGACCTCAGACCATTGCTGTTCCGCTTTAACGGGATCGAAGCATGGCCCTAAGTGTTCGAACAGGTGAGCCATTTTGCATGCTTGGCATATGCTCTTGGATATCACCATCCTGTCACTGATAGCTCCTGCAAGTCGAAATCGGCGCACTCGAAGCTGTCACTCCAAGAGCAACGCCATCGAAGCAGCTGAGCGCAGCTTCGTATGCCTCTCAACCAAAACGGCAGGATCCTTGCTTGGGTCAAGGGCCCCCCCCAAAAAAAAACGGCGCCCACAAATACCAAGTAATGATCTTGCCAAGAACTCATGTTTCTTGTTCGGTAGACATGCAGAACACCCAGTTATTGGCATTGATTCGAAGTGGACACCGAGCGCCAAATGAACTCTGCTCTGCTGAAAACTGCCCACGCAACGTGTCTCGAAAGTACACGGGGTGCTGACAGAAAACGGAAACCAATTTCGTGGGAGAAAATGTCGAGCCATGATTGACAATTTGCCAGTTCTCAATTGGGGTTTGTGGAAGAAAGGAGTCCTTCCTCCCAGTTGATGACTGGGGGCCGGCCAAACGGCACCGCCTCTACGGCCAGGTTCACAATGCTCAGCTGGTGGAAGGCCCTGCCTCACGGACCAATGACTCAAATAGGAAGCCTGAAACATGGGGGTGGGTCGGGTGGGAATTGGGGTGGGCTGGGGTGGGTCGCGTGGGAAGTGGGGTGGGCTGGGGTGGGTCGGGTGGGAAGTGGGGTGGGCTGGGGTGGGGGTGGGGTGGGGCTGGGGGTGGTGGTAGGGTACATCAAGGATCAGCAGAAGCAGCAGAAGCAGGAGAAACTGGTGAAGCGTGTGCTTGTGGCTTGCGAGTCGTCGGAGGTTTGCACGGTGGGGTGGGGTGGGGTGTTTGGTTTCTGTTGGAGCAAGGGAGGGAGCAGTTCTGCAAAGGCCTCTGAGTACCCACGTCTTCATGGCAACCTTCCTGGACTATTCGCAGTCGACTGCCCCATAGCTTGGGAAAGATCTGAGCTCGGGGCCATAGTTGTAGGCAGCTTCCGCCCGCATTGCCAAGCGATCTAACCTGGACTTCTGGACGTCTGCTGAACTTCTGGGATTCCCCATCTTTCGCCCAAATTGTAAGCTCACCAGTTATGGCCCTGAGACCTTGGCAAATGGAAGCCCCTCCCGTCACTCGAGCCCAGGATTGTGCCACTCCCAGCTCTCCCGTCGATGCGATACGACTGCCGTGTACCGCAAACAGCCGGACGAACCAGGCCAGCGAGACGGGTCATCTGGGATCCTCTCTTCCCAAGGCTGGCGCCTGAGGTAGGCACAACATCTGGAGCACCATGCTGCCAGGCGATACATCATAAATTTCCTCAACAGCATTAAAGATTCTAGACTCCACAAAAGATGAAGACCTTGTAAGGAGTTCCCTGTCATAAGCTGAACACCTAGGCCTTCACTGAGTACTGCCTGCCCTCGCACAAGGTCACAAGATTCAGGAAGGCCACCAACAAAAACGCCGGCACACCCGAGCCGGAAATTGGAGCTGGGATGGGCGCTCTTTGAATATGTTTGCCAGAGATTCCAGTGTGCCAGTGGTACCCAGGCCTTTCAGTCACCAAGACAGTTGAAATGATCTTCAATTCTCTATAAAACTATGTGAGAATTCTCCCGCAAGGTTGGTGGTTCCTTCCTGTCAAAAAAGTCGTCCAAATTGGGCCCATGGTGTTTGCAAATACCAAAAGTGTAACCACAGCACGCCGCAATAAAACGGCCCGGTTTGCAATGTTGACAGCTGTAATCCAGTCATCCTTCCTGTCTCAAAGTTGGCGGACAACATTTGTACATAGAAGTTCTCCATGTGCAGCTTCGTTTTCAATCAATCGCATGTGTTTTTTTCAGAGATCTCCAGTACCCTTCAAGGAACCCCAGCCACACCGAATCGCAAAAGAAACCCTTGAATCTCGGTCCTTCCCTGTTGGAACGGCTTGGAAGGGCGCTGGCGCTTCTCCAAGGACCAGTTTGATGGATCCCGCTCATGAAACACGCGCACGCACGGAAAAATACTGCCACAGCAATCAGCAGACTTCTCCTTGGGCTCCCTTTTTCGCGTGCCCAACAACAAACGCCGTAAATTACAAGCAAGCCCCTCCAACCAAAAAAAACAACAAACAAATTGTCGCTTTTTGTTGGGGGGGGGGGGGTGGAAGGAGGGCTCCACAAACCCTCCGAAATTGGTCTCCCGCCCATCACCCTGTCGCTGAGCGGCTCTGAGGAAAGACCGCCCCAGGAGTCCACCCACTCCTAGCAGCAATTGGGCGGCTCAGACAGTGGCCGAACAGAAACCGAACAGAAGGTAAGCAGGCTCATGAAACCATAATTATGCTAATATGGTTGTGGGTCAAAAATAGGTTCCCGTTTTGGGAACCCTGGTAAATGGAGCCAAAGACTAAAACCTGCGGTTTCCTGGTGGTTTAATTTCGACCCATACCCATATGTATTTATATGTCTGTGGCAAGTTTTCAAGGTCAGTGTGGGTTGACTACTCTGAACAAACAATCAGTCGACGCAGAACACTGTGCTGACGTTCCAGATCTATCAGAGCTTCATGTTGCAACTGCAAGTGCTCTCCCTCGCGGAAGCCAACAGTGCCTATGTTCACCTTTTGGCCGAGACGCTCATATAAATTCGCTTTTCTTCGACTGATCTCCGCGTGCTGCACGAGTTGGCAAATCCATAACCCTTGGAGGCCTCCAAATCACCGAATTCAACATGGGGAGCAGCGCCCTACAGGCGACCATGACTCCAACAACTTGAGCTGGAATGCAAGCGCGTGACTAAATCGTCCTCGTCTTCTTTATCCTCTTCCGTGGGAAGAATACCTGCAACTCAGTCACAGCTGCAACTCAGTCACAGCTGCTAGCTGACCATTCCCAAAGCATTCAATAAGTGGCCATGCGCAGAACCCATGGCTCCATTTTGGGTTGGATCAACATCCATTTGCCGCCTATTTTGACGTTCATCAGGGGTGCAGAGTTTTGACCCACAGCCAAGTCATCGCAACAAGTGATCGCCTCGAAGGAAGGGGCAGGCTGATTCGCAAAGCTTAAACTGCCACTGCTTTGTCAAATTGGAATCTGCAGGACTTTTGGCTTGTAGGCTTCAGAACACCGGTAAGCAAAGAAGGTGTTCACCATGTCTGTGGGGCCCTAGGCTGCAGCAAGCCAGGGGTATTCCGTGAACACTCACACCCAGGCAAAATAGATAGTGTATTACCCTTCCATCCAGGAAGGCAAAGGGCTAGCGGCTGGCTGCATTGACACTTACACCCAATTTTACAACAACCTTTGGATTTTGAACGGGCATTCATCGGTGATAACACATCACCTTCAAATATCATCATAGGATCAAATAAAGTCCCGCATTGTTTTTCCTAGACACGTCCTGAGTCGGAAGAACTGAAGCCAGGATTGCTCCTCATTCCCTGGTGGATAGGATGCAACGAGCACAAAGCAAAGGCGCTTCAAAAAGTGGGGCGTTGCTTTCCTCGGAGTCCCCCTAGCAGCGACATCCAATTCCCGAAAGGAATAGCTAACAACCTCAAGGGCCCATCATCCTGGTTTCCTTTCCTCCCATACTGCGGGTGGACGAAATCCCGCACCTCCTAACAAACCCTGGTTTCTGACGATTCCCCATCAATACCAACAAACGTGATGGGTTGCAACCATGGTTTCCAAGTGGTGCGGTCTCGGATTTCGCAACCATCAAAAGTAGGAGCCACAGGGGCCCGGGAATCAAACCAACACCGGCGAGCCACGGTCGACATCGAGCGAATCTCAGCCGCCGCCTGCGGAGCGCAGGCGCAGGCGTTGGTAGCGCTGCAGGAAGTTCAGGCCCTTGAGCACCAGGTCGTGCCCTGAAAGTCGCTCAACTCGACTCCTCTGAGTAGCTCAACTTGAACCACGTGGTTGGTTGGTTGGTTGGTTGGCTGGCTGGCTGGCTGGCTGGCTGGCTGGCTGGTTACTTGGGTGGTTGCCTCACAAAGCTGCTCCAAAGACCCTGATAGAAATTGGGGCCTGCCAAAGGTCAGCCAAAGGAAGCCGAACCAATTTTCTACGCTCCGGATATGACCATCTTTTAGAGGCTGGCAGCAACCCTGAAGTACTTTGGAAGCTGAGATTCCATGTGATGAATCTGTCAATAGACTCGGCGGACGCTGTTGACATGTGCGATTTGCGTCTTTTCCGCGTCACATCATTGATTGACTGGATGGACAAATGGATGCATGAAAACATGGATGGATGGATGGATGGATGGATGGATGGATGGACGGACGGACGGACGGACGGACGGGGATGGGATGGGATGGGATGGGATGGGATGGGATGGGATGGGATGGGATGGGATGGGATGGGGATGGGGATGGGGATGGGGATGGGGATGGGGATGGGGATGGGGAGGGATGGGATGGATGGGATGGGATGGGATGGGATGGGATGGGATGGGATGGGATGGGATGGGATGGGATGGGATGGGATGGGATGGGATGGGATGGGATGGGATGGGATGGGATGGGATGGGATGGATGGATGGCAACGACAAGTCTGTCCAGCACTGAACGATCAGACTTGAGAAAAACGTCGCAGTATCATGGCTCATCCTGATCCAAACAGGGTCATGGAAATTTGAAGTTGCCAACAAAGGTGTGTGCCGAAATAGGGGAACCCAACATATGTGACTTTCCTTTGGCTTCCTTTGAAGAAACCTCAACAAGGGTACCCTCAAGTCACACACACACACGCACACGCACACGCACACGCACACGCACACGCACACGCACACGCGCACGCGCACGCGCACGCGCACGCGCACGCGCACGCGCACGCGCACGCGCACGCGCACGCGCACCCGCACCCACACCCACACCCACACCCACACACACACACACACACACACACACACACACACACACACACACACACACACACAAAGGCGCTACCTTCAGCTCTTGACCAGGCGGCTCTCGCCAACCCTTGAGACCCGTGCGCCAAACTGCGGCACGCGACATGGCGAAGGAGATGTAGGCCTCAAATCAACCCATCCCCGCTCCGGGGAAGGAGGAGGGGTAGGCAGTGGGGGGCCGGGGGGCCCAGTTTTATTTTGAGTCGCCCTCACCAAAGGGAACTGCAGGCGTACGCGGCGTACCCCCCCCCTCCCCCAATTGTCAGACAAGGGGTGGGCATACCTGCCTACACGACCACATTTCCCCTCAAGAACGGCATGGCTTGGCCTACGGCCAGAAATGGGTCAGTACTTACCAGGCCGATCATGCTCAATAGCCTCATCAATCCTTTCAGGCCAACTTGACAGTAAGTCACTCACCCGTGTTGGCAGTACATGGCCCTGTGCTGGTGGGGCGGGCAGGGTAATTCTGGACACTTAGAAAGCCTACAAGCTTTCCATGTTCAGAGCATTTGTCAATTGCAAGTGTTCCAAACGATGGCGGTCAAAGTCAAAACACAAAGCCTGGCCTTGGCACCATAGAGAACAGCGACCATTGTGTCCGAATCATTTCTTCGAAAATCCAGGGGCCATGGCCACAGGCCCCAGGCCATAGTTTTTGCAAATCCTTCCGCTACCTTGAAATGAATGGACAAAGGCACGCGTGCCACAACTGTCCGATCTCTCAGCTTTTGAAGCTGGAAGGGATCCTCCTCACTCTTCGATGAGCGATGGTCTGGAGCGTTGCGGAGTCAGGGCTCCAGGGGCCCGGCATTGGGAGAAAACTTGTTCAAAATGCGTGGAGAGATTTGCGTCAGGTGTTGCACCTCATGTTCCCGTTCATGAACGCGACCACAAGCTTCTTTGCCCAAGTCAATTTGGCCAGTACAGCGCGGCCACCGTAAAACTAGTTAAGAAGTTGAGACCGTGGCATCCAGGACACCTCTCCCAAACCGCCCTAGCTAGTTAAGACGTATGTTGCTGCCACGGGAATCTTGGCCATGCCATCTTTGTCGACCTATTCTCAGAGCCAAAGCTAAGAACGATCTCAAGCATTGCCGGATGAACAAGTCAGAGTCGCAGTTTCTTCATTGGGGATAGGGCCCCGTTGCCCAAAAATGCTTCTTATTTTGACAAGTGGGCCCGTTGCTCAAAAGGGTCCCCGCGAAGAAACTCAGTACAGTATCGGTTTCTCAGTTGGGCAAATGGGCTTCAAGCTACATCGCATTGACTGCGGTTTGCCCCTTAAGGTCTGCGGGCGATACAGCAACCAGACAGGAAAAACATGTTTGCTCATGCAATAATTAGTCTGCTCAGAAGTTTTGTGTCACTAGCTCCACATGTCCCATACACTTGCTTGGAAGAAGCAATAGCTGAGCTGCCTAGTGACACTGACCAGATCCTTTACAGATTCTTATCCAGTCGTTGGGCTGTATATTGTTTTGATGCGCATGTACCGATGAAGCAAACACCCGTTTCTGAGCTTCCCTCCCATCGGACAACAAGCCGAAGCCCTGTTCCAGCCCTTGTCTGGGCCCCAAACTGTGGCGGTGCAAAGGGCCGGCAACGGATCCTAGTGGCGAGTGGGTCCAGGGTTTCCCCTTTTTCCGCACAAGGGCAACTGTCAAAGCGTAAAAGCCCTCTTTGGTGCGGGATAACCCCTTGCTCTCCCTTGGATGTCAAGACATATGGCTGACTTTGAGGTGGGGTGGTTGGATTGGCGGGCTTGGATTGGTTGTTTGATGTGGTCTTTGGCGCGCACCGAGTAGCAAAGCATCTCGACCGTCCTCCCAGAATGTGAAAGGGCTGCCTTCAAAGATGGTTCAGTGTACAGCGAGGTGTCCTGAAAGCCTGCTCCATACCCCCTTGCTCAACCAACCAACTCATGTGCAGCCAGCCAGCCAGCCAACCAACCAACCAACCGACCGACCAACTAACCAACCCACCCACCAACAGCTGGGGATGTTGATGCAGATGCAGAATGCCCACGGGAGGTGCTGGTGCAAGCTGGGAACAGGGCGCTGCTGCAAGGTGCTGCTGCAGGGAGTGTTGGTGCAGGGGCACTGATTTGCGGGCAGGGGTAGCTCTCAAATATCCTCCCTTCCGCAAATCCAGAGGACTGAGCCGACCAACATGTGTCTACATCATCTCTCATGTTTGCCAAGTTTAGACCATCCAAGCCACGGGCATCTACTTGAGCCCTAGAGCGGGTATCTCCAACATGCTCGCTGATACCTTCGGATGCATAGAAGAAAGGCCAATTGGAACACAATGCTTGTTGACTCGTTCACACTTGGACATTCGGTGAGACAAATTTGGCTTCTGTGCTTGGGCTGCTGCGAAGGGAGACAGCCGATGGGCCCGCGAGTATTCTGCCACCGAGAATGGATACCTGGCAAGGAGCTGTAAACATGGCTGCTTGGCCTGCCGACATGCCAAGCAGTTGCTATCCAGATCGCAGTTGGAAACCAAGGCTTCCCATGCAACTCGTACGTCCACGTGCATCACAGGACCTACAGAAATATGTCTTTTTTGAGGGTACCCCTTGTTGGTCGCTTTAAAGGCAAGCCAAAAGAAAACAACCGAAGCCACTTTGGAGGGTCCCCGAAAAAAGAAAAAAAAACGAGCCGCCCCTTTTTTGCCGATGTGTCCCTGTGCCGCAGGGAACAAGGCATTCCAGCTGCGCACTGCGAGGCGATGGTGCAAAAGTGCCCACATAGCAGCGTGAGGGCATAGGCGCGCGGCCTGGAGACATATGGCTATGGGCCAAAAGCCCGGTTAGCCCACAGTGAACATCCCAATCCCCCCTAAAATAGGTCTAAAATGGGTGGCGAATTCACCTACCAACCAAAACAGTACCATTGGCTTTGACAACTACAGCCATCTGGGTGTGGCTCAAATTCTACCAAAAAGGACTACAGCCGTAACAAGAGCGCTCTTTAAATTTCAGCCACAGCCTGCGGAAACGGCCGTAGGAGGAAAAAAGCAAAGGCACAGAACCAAAAGCACAGCTTCCGTGTGGGGCAAACTTGCTCAACATACCTACATCAAAGTGCAGCTTTTTGCGTAGAATCAGTACCCGCGTATTATTGGGGTGTCAGAGTTCATGGTAATTAAACAGCGGCAAGCAAATACAATCTTGAAGAATCTTAAAGACAACCCTCTTCAAGCATGGGGCCCACACCATCTCAAGATCCTCCTCAAAATCGGCATGATAGCTTAAGCCGGCACAATTTCTGCACCATGCTCCATCATGCTCAAGTCCTCGCTTTCCAAAGAAAATGCGCAAATAAAGAAGCCAGTTGGGATCATGCCTCACATAGAGACAACACCCAAGAAACAACAAGCTCAAAAGGTCGGCGTTGCTTCGAGTTTTGCGTTCGAGTGGTTTAGCATTGGCGACAAGCTCCCTTTGCAATTCGGACATGCGACCTTCACTGGCTGGATATTCCACTTCGTTGCATTCACAACAGTGGTATATCTGGGCTGTCCTCAGATCCCGCTCAAAGTCTAACTTTTGGTGGGTTGAATGGAAATCCTCACTGAACACTAAAAAGCTCAAAGGCTAAGAGGATGGCTGGGAACCACCAAGAAATGAGAATCATACTCATTATGCCTCATGAGGATGTCACTAGCTGGCTACAGTTACAGGGGGTACCTTCCTTGGGACTGGCACTCAATCACCTCCTGAGCAAGCAATCCTGGATTGGTGGTTTGGCGGTTGAGAAGGAAATAGCCATCAACCAGCTACCAAACCGCCAATTTGGGGTTGCCTGAGATTCATTCCTAAAGCAATCAGTCCAACCTTCCCAACACAAGCACGATCTGATTCAGTTGAACATGAGTCGAGCTATTCCTACGCACATTGTGCTCTCTCCATGAATCCGCCTCCCTTCCCCCAACGGTCCAGAAGCTCAATCTTTACGCAAACAAAACCTCCACTCCCTCTCGATCCATTCCCGTTTCTCCATTGTCTCTAGGGGTTGATTCCCCATTATTTTCAACCATCGTTCTTTTCAAAAACCGGATCTGTTTCCAACCTGGGTTTTTGAGGGTTTCCTGCAAAGATTCGGATTCCTGGAAAGAATGGGAAATGGAAGGCACCCCTTGGCCTCTTCAGCAGCCGCCGGATGGCCCAGCTGCGCACATCTGTGAAGGCTGCAGCATAGGTGTTGCCTGCAGCCGGCCCCGGTGACCCGGTGACAGCGGAGCTGGAACCGCGCTCCGCGCTTGCGGCCCAACGATGTTTCCGTTGGAAGGCAATTTGTCAGCACTGCGCGGCCTGGCTGGTTGCAAGCGCAAGAGGCAAAGCGTCAAGGACCTGCATCTAAGAAAACTTCCCATCCCTGAGTCAAAACAGCATTTGTTCGCATCAGGGGTCCCCTAGAATAATAGTAATAACAGTAGTAATAACAATAACATTAATAATACTAATACTGTTAATAACAATCACACCAATAACAATGATACTAATACGAATAATACTAATAATAGTAATAGCAATAATAATATGAATAACAATAATAACAACAGTAACAATAACAATAGGAACAGTACTAAAAATATTAATATTAATAACAACAATAACAACAATAATAACAATAGCAGCAATAGCAATAATAACGATAATAATAATAGCAATAATGACAATAATCATAGCAACAATAAAACTAACAATAACAATAGTAGTAATAATAACAACACTAACAATAAAAACAGTAACAATGATGCAGCTGCACTGTGTGTCTTCGAGCTCGAAGAGCGAGGGCAACCCTACCCGTAGGGTATACCGCTGACGTGTTTTGTTGCACCCCGAGCTCCTCCTCAGCATTGCCTGCATCACCTGCACGCAGGCCGGCCCAAACACTTGGACCCCAAAACATCCCCGGCCTCCCTGGCCTTGCGACGGGCTTCTGATGCCACGTCGCCCGGCCTTCAAATAACACTGTAAATACGGTGCAAATCGCCCCGGACAGTCGACAGCATCCCCGCCAACATCCTCTGCATCCTCGCAAACTTCGCCAGCATCCCCGGCATTCCTGCATCACCAGCACCTGGGCGATCCAGCATCGCTTACATCCCCTACATCCCCTGCATCCCCTGCATCGCTCAAACCCTTCAAAATAGCCCCCTGAGAGTAGGTTTTGGCGGTAGGCGGACATGGCGGGCAAGTCTGCGATCGAGCGAGCGGCTTTTCTTGCGCAAGTGCGGCCACCGCCGCTGTGCGGAAAACATCGCACACACCGTGTTTTTCTCCATTTTTCCGCGGGTTTCTGTGGGGCTGAAACGGGCTGCCGGGGATGCATTTTTTGGTCTGATTGGCTTTAGGTGTCAGGCCCGTGCGGCGCGCGCGCGCGCCGGACGCAAGCGCTGGACGCAAGCAGGCACACATGCACTGAAGCTAGCGTGGGTGAGTGTCAGGGAGGTTGGGCAAGCAACCTTGCAGCCTCTTGCGCGTGGGTTCGCAGCGAGCGCGTGCTTGGGTGACCGGCCAGCGCAGCTGGTGATGGCGAAGCCCTAGGATAACAATAGTAGTAATACCAATAATGCCAATAATAACAACCATAATACTAACAATAATAATAACAACCATAATACTAACAATAATAATAACAATAATAACAACAACAATAACAATAAAAGAAACAATCATAACAACAATAATACCAATAATAACAATAGAGGCAACAATAATTGTCAACCACCGATCTTTTCCTCCAGAATAAAACCTCCTGCCCGGGCCGAGGACCGCGCGGTGCCCGGAGGCGGAGAAGCCGGTCTTCTCGTGCTCCCAGGGGGCCACATCTGCGCGGTCCTCGTGGCATGGGACCGCAGAGGGGTTGGTCCTCCAGTAGGGATCCTGACACCCCCAGAAACCGTCAAGTTTTTTTGTAGTTGTTTTTTGTTTTTGTTTTTTTTAAATCCCAGCTGGAGTTTATACACCTGAACATTGCAACTTGTAAATGGTGTCCAACTTTATGTTGGTGAAAAAGCAACATGTTTCAAATGGTTGCAAAATGGAGATCTTTTAAGGAGCCCTGTAGAAAGCTGACACAAAGCAGGGGCTTCTTGGTTAGTCTTAGTTGTGCAAAGGACTTTCCTTCCTCCTCCAGTTGAGGTTAGAATAAGTGGGTACTAACTTTTTTAGTAGGGGAACCCTCCCAACCAAAAAAGGGGTGAGAAAGGGCACCTAGCTGGGGGACCTAGTAGGGGTGCCTGGTTGCTGGGACACAAGGGCACCCTAGGAGTACACTTTCCATACATGTCCACTGGCCCATTCTCAATCTAGCGGATTCCCAGAAAGCCAACCAAAACTGAACTCGAGAAGAACGACGGTCGGAAAGAATTGGGCAAGCCCTAGACTTGCTACCGGTTTCTTGGCATGTGCGTCTCCCACCCCACATGGCTCCATACCGCGCTAGGGGGAGGACTGAATCACAGAAGCCATCCAGCGCCTAGAGGTGTTGGGGTATCTACTGGCTACAAAAGACGCACAACCGCCTACTTCCCATGCCTTTGCGCTCCTGGGCCAATGGATTTTTCCGGGATTTTCCCTGCCCGCGTTTCTTTCATGCGGGGCTGAAGCGCGGGAAGCAGCCGGCAGCCGGGTCCACTCCGCGGTCTGAGGTCTCGACTTGGGAGGCCGGGCCGCACAAGCCGTCCACGTCTGCATGGGTGAACCTCAGCGACTCGCCGAGTCGTGCGAGTCGTCGCGACTGTCACGACTCCGAATTCAACCGGAAACGCCCTGACACAACTTTGACCCCCAAGCTGAGCTCACGGAATGAAGAGGCATAGATCTAAGGCTCTGCTTTTCTTATCCACCGCATCTAGCCCTGCGGATCTCCAGCTAGCGCACTAAGTATCAGGCAAGATTCTCGTGAACAGCGCCACGAGATGATCGTTGTCGTTGCGATCGCACACCACGCGCAGGTGCTTGAAGACCACCTGCAAGCCACGAATTCGCAGACGCTGAAAGGCCGGAAGTCAGCAAATGGAGCAGAACAAATCATCTGGCCAGTGATCCAGAGATGTGACCGACTGTTGTGCGTCCTGCGTTCCCAACATTTCCCAACAACCGCCTGCTAAAACCTCGAGCAAACCTGCCCAAACGCACATAGCGGTTTGGGCGGAGGCCGGGGTTTTTCGGCGAAAGGTTTGGGTTGGCATCCCCAAACCCTGAGGGGTGCTTCTGACCCACCTCAGTGCTCAGCCACTCAACTAGAGCCAGGATTCCGCCATCAAGCCAAGGGCCACAACTTGCCACAGGTGAGCATGGCTACGTTGGCATTGATGCCCTGGCTGTCTGGATACGCTGGGACCATATGTTTTGCTTGTTGTGCTTGATGGTACAAGCAGGCCATTCATGAACATCAAAAGGAAACTAGGCCTTTTGAGGGGTTCCACCCGTCCAACCCCAGGGTGTGAGCCCGACCTCATGATATTTCCAGCCGAAATGCCTCCTTGCTGAAACTCACAGATGGACGCTTCGCAGCATGCGGGATTGAACTTTAACTGGGAACCCTTTGGTGGACATCAAAGAAAAAAGGGTTCCCCATGAAAATGCGCAACCGTGAATTCTCTGAACTCTCAGCGCTTACTAGTGAAGCCTGCACAGGCTCAAGACAGGAGTGTCCTGCAACCCGCCCTCGAACCAGTCGGATGCCTTCCAGAGGCGGGCCTCAAAACCTGACGCCGGGGGGCAGCCAGGCGGCTCTTCCAGTGGTCGTCTGTTTGGGAGACTCGTGTCTGGTTTTTTCCGGTGAGTCAAATCCAAAGGCGGCCAGTGGCCAGGGCTCCATTGCAGTCTATAAGCCGCATCTACAAACAAGTACAAAGACAGGCAAGGGAGTAAAGAGGCCTCCCCCTTTTTTTGAGCGCAACAAAGTCCGCGCGAAATATATGTGTATATATATATATATAAATAACTGCCTGGGTTCGCGCCATCTGAGGTTTGGGTCTGGACCTGGGGAGGCTCTGTCGCACGTCCCTCCCTCCCCGCCTGCGGTGAGGGAGGTCATGGCCAGGTCTCGCACCAGGCGCCGCTTCACCTCAGCGAGTCTGGGCGAGTCTGGTTACCCAGACCTAGACCGCCTACAAGTGGGGTGTGCCAGAAAATGGGGGGGACACAAGAGATGTGGATGTTCCTTCGGGTTTCCCTTTATAAACCAACCCCCAACAAGGCTACCCTTAAGAAGACATACCCACCTTTGCGAGCCTTCGAGGGTTGTGGCGCCTTTGGGGTTGTGGCATGTTCTTGCAAATGAAAGCAAGTGAACCTTGTGAGACTCACTTGCCCAGAATGTTGGGAGAGGAGCTTGACGAAGCGAAAAGTATTTGTGTCTCAAAGAAAAGCTGCCACGAAGGCAGTCACGTGGCTTACGCAAAGTGCAGTAGACGGTGGCCAGGAGACCCATTTAATTTGACTTGCATACAGGAACGTTGACACAGAGCACCGCCCAGGTTCCAAACTAGAGGCCCAACAGACCCAAATCGGGGCGAACCCGGCACGGTGCCTTCACGAGGCCTTCGCCAAACAAATGCCTATGCAACGTGCCTTCGTGAGATTGCATGGCTCATTGTCTGCTTGGGGTGGCCTTGCGAATGAGGAAAGCCAAAAGGGGGCGCATGGGGGCGCCTTCGCAACAAAACGTTGAGCCCTGCGAACAAAATGTCAAGGCCCATGAACATTCAAACGCCTGTCAACTAAGCAAAACCTTCGCCTGAGCCGTGCCGAGGACATATTCCTGGGCCCAAGGAAGCACCGCCAATGCCCAAACAACTGTCATACCTTGAAGCTCGGTACCCCTTGTTGGGATGCTTTCATGGCCCCTCCGCATTCTGCCAAGGTCAGATTTCTGATTGACTTATGCCCCAAGAGTACTGGGTGAATTGAGACGGCTTTTGTCGTTCGCGGCATTGGGGCGTCTCCCGCCCATGTCCTGGGTGCCCCGGCCGGATTCCGCACGGAGACCAGCTTTCGGTTGGAGATGATCATCTCGCACAGCTCCACCGCCTTCGAAAGGCAGCGGACCCGAGGGATCTAGAAGTTCTTGCTGGTGAAAGGGAATTGATCCGCGTAAACAGGACAAAATCCAAATCCGGTTTCAGTTGGTGTTTTGGAAAAAGGAAGCCATTGAATACAATCCCATCTACCTCCGCTCAATTGAGCGTTGGTGCTTATTCCCCTTGCACATACATCCTTGCCGTGGGCCAAGAGGTCCCTTCCTCGGACTTCCGCGGCACATGTTTTCCAGCATTTGCTTCTGCAAACCTTCCGCGGAGCGCATGTTTTACAAGATTTGCTGCAGAAGGGAAAGTCAAGTTAGGAAAGGGAAGTCATGTTCCGCCTGTGTTGGCGCAGAGTGTGTAGGCTTGGGCTCCATTGGGCTACCCGTGATGCATGGGCACTTGCCCGCAGACACGGGGCACCCTTCCGCGGAGCTTCCGCAAATCTTCCGTTCCGCTTGCTTCTGCGCACGTAAGCGCGGTGCACATCTTCAAAAAAAGGCGCTCTCCCTGCTACTTTAGCTCGCAGGCAAAGAACACGCTGCGCAATTGTTCTGTAGCAAACGCAGCACCTCCTGCATGGCCGCAGATCGGCGAGGCCGAAAGACATCCATTGCTAATGTTGACCCAGGATTAATAAACCTGTCCCATTATTAGGGGGGTGTTCCATCCAAAAGTGATGAATCCCTACTAAAAGGGGACACCCCCCTATTAATCAACCAGGGGTTTATTAATCCGGGCTATTGCTACTCAATCCATGAGGTATGCGACGGTGCTCAGTGCAAAGCAACTGAGGCATTGGCACGTGCTGCCTGGATTACGCCCTCCCGCGACTTGGAATTCTTCTGCGACACTGCATAACTGCCTAGGACGTCGGGACGCTCGACGTCGGGCTCTTCTTTGATGATCCACTAAGGACTTGCTGCGGTGCTGCCCAAAACAACAACAACTGCAAACCTGCTGGCAACCGCAAGAAACCGCTCTTCAGTAGTTTCAAATCAAGTGCTCTTGTACAGCAATAAAGACCTTTCAACCGCCTTGAGGCTGCAGGCTCAAGCAACTCTTTTGGGGGTGGATGAGCTCATTCAGCTGACAGTCCTTACCAAGCCCTGGCAACTACACTTGCTTTCTGCATTCACATGTATATGTAATCTCATGCAAGCGGTACAAGCCGGACATTCAAAATAAAGGCCTGTTAAAATAAAGATCAAGCTGAGACTTCCATCCTCATGATCTCATGATGGGCCACAGCCGAACTCAGAGGTCATGGCATCGCCCGAGAAATCAATCAAGGATGTCAAGGCAGCAAATATGGAACTACATCTGGGTCAATGTCAAAACACAGGCGTGCCCCTGTGCATTCTGGCCAGGTAGAAACGCACCAAGGTGCGGACGTCACGCCAAACCATCCCGTGTTGCACCGCCGAGCTGCGGATGATGTCCACGCCCATCTTTACCATCGAGAGGTACGACTCGAACCCGAACCTGCACCAAGCTCGGTGTTTTGCCCCGCAGGCGAGGGGCAGAGTTCGCGTTTGGTGTGATTACACATTCTACAACTCTCAAAAGGTCGGCCCGGTCCTGGACATGAAACGGTGCGAAATCATCTCAGTTCAAGCAACACTGCAAGACATAAACATAACTGGACTGTTCAGAATGGAGTTTGGCCAATCCGATCTTCCATCCCAAGAACATGACTGGACAGAACCCTTGAGGTAGATAGATCTTGCGCATTGCCTCTCGAGAGGCTGAGGCCCCCACATGTCCTCCACCGAATCCAGGCCCAGGTGCTTTCGCTTCCAGCGGTAGCTGGTGGACGCCTAGCCATATCGGGTCCGGACTCGCAAACCCAGGGATCGAACCTCAGGCATGGCGAGCTCATTCACCGGCCGGGGGCGGGCTCCTTTTTGCCAACAATCGCCAAATGCACAGCAGAAACTGCTGATTTTGGAAGAGAACGATAGTAAAGAAGACCAGGGATCAACCCCCTAGATCTCTTTGCATTCAATTGAAATGACAAGCATCCACAATATGTGTGCTGCGCACTGCCATGATCTGCCATGCTTGCTTGATCTGATGTTTGTGCATAGGGGGGGTAGCTCAACCCCAGAAATCCATTGAGGGCAGCTCCCCCCGTCACTTCTTCAGGTCCCACGCCGGCACCAACCTCTGCCCCGCAAAACCCCCTGCCTGCATCGATTCCTCCGCCTGCCCAACCCCTTGGGGCCCGCCCGCCCTCGTGGGCATGAGGTCACGCTCAAGGGAGACCAACGGACCAACGAACTTGCCATAGGCTGCGGCCAAAGTTGACGGTCAAACCATGTCGGTGTTGGCCAAAACTGGCCGCGGCGGGCAAATGTGAAGTTGGCGAAAAGATGAGAAGAGGCCACCAGGGAGCACGCAAGGAAAGACTGTGGCCTCAAGGGTTAAACCCACTGGTGTGTGTGTGTGTGTGTGTGTGTGTGTGTGTGTGTGTGTGTGTGTGTGTGTGTGTGTGTGTGTGTGTGTGTGTGTGTGTGTGTGTGTGTGTGTGTGTGTGTGTGTGTGTGTGTGTGTGTGTGTGTGTGTGTGTGTGTGTGTGTGTGTGTGTGTGTGTGTGTGTGTGTGTGTGTGTGTGTGTGTGTGTGTGTGTGTGTGTGTGTGTGTGTGTGTGTGTGTGTGTGTGTGTGTGTGTGTGTGTGTGTGTGTGTGTGTGTGTGTGTGTGTGTGTGTGTGTGTGTGTGTGTGTGTGTGTGTGTGTGTGTGTGTGTGTGTGTGTGTGTGTGTGTGTGTGTGTGTGTGTGTGTGTGTGTGTGTGTGTGTGTGTGTGTGTGTGTGTGTGTGTGTGTGTGTGTGTGTGTGTGTGTGTGTGTGTGTGTGTGTGTGTGTGTGTGTGTGTGTGTGTGTGTGTGTGTGTGTGTGTGTGTGTGTGTGTGTGTGTGTGTGTGTGTGTGTGTGTGTGTGTGTGTGTGTGTGTGTGTGTGTGTGTGTGTGTGTGTGTGTGTGTGTGTGTGTGTGTGTGTGTGTGTGTGTGTGTGTGTGTGTGTGTGTGTGTGTGTGTGTGTGTGTGTGTGTGTGTGTGTGTGTGTGTGTGTGTGTGTGTGTGTGTGTGTGTGTGTGTGTGTGTGTGTGTGTGTGTGTGTGTGTGTGTGTGTGTGTGTGTGTGTGTGTGTGTGTGTGTGTGTGTGTGTGTGTGTGTGTGTGTGTGTGTGTGTGTGTGTGTGTGTGTGTGTGTGTGTGTGTTTTTGTGGGCACCCCTTATGGACACCTTATGTGGGTCTATTCTGCAACCTTCTTGGTGTTCCTTTGATTTCTTCTATTGTTCTTGGCTGCAACATAAAACTCCAACCAAGTGTCCGTGGCACGGCACCAACCCCCCCCCCCCTCCCAGTTGTGTGGCCCTTTTTCAAGGGAGCCCCACGGAGCTTCCGCAAAACCTCACCCGATCACCCGAGCCGCCTTGGCCCGCGCCCCCTGCGGAGAAATCGTGGCGCGTGTCCCAAGGTCATGGGACAAACTGCTCGTTGGCCCCGGCTTTGTGGGGGGAAGTTGAGCCAAGTTTCGTTGTGCTGTGGGTTTTTGGGTTGTTTTGTCGGTTTGTTGGTTTGTCGTGGGTTTTGGAGTGCTTCGTTTGTCATGTTGTTGCTTTTTAGCTGGCCCCCAGGTTCATGTCCTCCCCAAATAGACTACCAGAACACAAAGGTCCCTCATCTACTAGGGCGAAGGTTCAGGGCATTGCCAAAGACTCCTTTAACATAGGGAAATCGAAGAATCATCGACTATACATGTGTGGCTCAAGTGTGGCGAAGGGGCTCCAGCTGTGACTCATGTAAGTTCCTACGATGACTCGCGCGTTTCATGAAAAGTCTCTATGACCATCAACCTCTGATGGACTGTGGGCCTGCAGTGCGCTAGTTCGCAGTTCAGACCTGTCCCTGGGTCTCCGGTCAACAGTTTAGTTTCCTCAATGAGCTGCATACACAATCTCCGAAGCTGTCAACGGATTTGGACTGCTCAGCAGGACTTCCTACCGGAACCTGTGACACAAGCGATGTTTCGCTCGATCTATGCATGGAGTGGTTGTGTTACCTGGCCCGTAATCTTGGGCAAATTGAAAGTCTTGCCAATTGTCCCCTGCCTCAAGCAGTATAGCATATAAAGGGCTTGGCAAGCAAAGAAACCAAGGGCTATGGGCAAGGGGTACTGTATGTGCTCCCTTATGTGGCACTACTTGGCAACGCCCATGTTCATGCAGACTTGAACAAAACAAACGCGCCCAGTTTCATCTGCTTTCACTTCTCATTACCCTTCCCTCTTGCCAGCCCTGGTCAAACATAGGAAGAGCCCAGGCCAACACAAAGCAATCTCCTGAACACAAGGTTTTGTTTTGGGCAACGAACCTGATCTCGATTACGACATCAACTCGTAAATTGGGGCTTGTCTTGTTTTCAAGGCACCCCCTATTTGGCTTGAGGCCACACAACCATCTTAGGAGGTTCCCCCCCCAAAAAAAAAATAAGAAGAAGGGGCAAACTGATCATGGGAAAGCCCACAGCCGCACCGGCGGCCTTGACGGGCTTCAACATGGTCTTGGCCGCCCGTTTCGTCTTCTCCAGGTCCTCGTCCTTTTCCTCGTCCTTCTCGGCCTCTTCCTTCGCCTCTGGGTCGAAAGCAAAGAGCTGCAAGGTTTTGATCCCTCCCACCTGTGAAGCCTGGCAAGCCTTGAATATAAAGCACAAGCCATGGACAAAGCGTTCATATGGCCATGGGCCAAAAGCCCGGTTAGCCCCCAGTAAACATCCCAATCCCCACTAAAATCGACTAAAATGGGTGGTGCACCTACCCCAAAATGGTACCACTGGTTTTGACCCACAGCCATATCTAGATACCGGTAACAAGGATGTTGCCACTCTTGGCATCCTGCGCTGGAGGTGACTGAATGCAAACAACTGGATCTAATCATGGACCAGTTCGCAGCGGCTTGCAGGTATCACTGGCTCAACACAATGGCCATAAACGACTGCACTGCTCCTCTTCCCCTCTGAATTCTTCTTCCCTCATCCCTCAAGCCAGGACACAAAGGTTTCATCTAGACTCCGCCTGCCGGCCAAAAGGGCACAGCACATCGACGCCCGTCTCACAAGGACGGCTCGCCTTGTCAGGACTCTTGGCATCCTGCGCTTGCTGGTTCTGAGGACACCCTCGGGGGTTCCCAAGCAACGGGCCTTTGCGGGGGGGGGGGGGGCCTGTGGCGGGCCCAGGCCTCGGAACGGGCAACCTAGGGCCCAACATCATCCGAGTTGAGGATGGGAATAAGGGAGTTGAGAAAGCAGCCCGTCCACCATGCTTTATGAACAGGTGTCCCTTCACCCACAAAGAAAAAAGGCATTGAGATGTGTTCCATTGTGGAAATGGCAAACTCTGGGACTACCAGCAACAATGACGGAATCCAATGCTTGCGAAAAGCCAGCAAGGAAACCTGTTCAAAAGCTTTAGGCCGAAGCTGCGGATACTTCAAACCCCAAAAAAAACGGTAGGTGTCTGTTCGGGGGTACCCTTTTCGGTGTTGTTTTAAAAGGGAGACCAATGGGACCACCCAGTACCCATTGGCCGTTTTGTTGGAGAACCCCTCCCCCCCCCCACACAGAGACATGGTACCATGGGAGAGCCGTTGCGGCCACTATGGAGTAGGGGCCTTTACCATTCAGATCATGACCATCCCATGGCTCTTGCGCAATGCCAGTCCTGTCTAAAAGCCACCTTTATGCAATCCTGAAAACAGCAAGCAAGTTCATGTGCAAGTTCAAATGACGTCCAACGCAAGCTCCACGTTTGCCAACTTGATTTTTACCACCACTTCCCCAAATCATGTCTCTGGTCCCGTCCTCAATGGCCAGCGCGGCCGACTCCTTCTGCTCCCTTTGGCTCGCGCTGTAGGCGGACAAGCGCTTGTAGTCAAGCTCGCAGTCGTACCTGACGAGAGGCTTCTGGCTGGAAGCTCGAGCAGCTCATGTGAGGCAGGCCCGGCCTTCAAATCGGTCGCTAGATCAACGTTGAGTCCTTTTCATAATCAGATCTGGCATTCAAAACAGAAGTCGTTCCAAGATCCATAAGAATCACCGGGGCACCAGTTCATAGTTGGACTGTCCCCTTTCCTCTAACCAGATTTGATCTTGGATGCTGAAAAAGGATTGGGCCGAACTCGATGTGACATTTGCACACAAGGGGCTCCGGAGGTTTGAACTGAGAACGACACAATGAATCCATCATTTGGCTGTGGGTCAAAAATGGGTACCCAAAATCGAACCTATATAAATGGAATCATGGACCAACACCTGCGGTCCCCTGGTGGCTTTATTTTGACCCATACCCATTTGGGGACCTTATGAGCTCGCTTACCCCAAGTGAACTCGCCACGATTACAGAGATGTCTTGCTCATGATCTCAGTTGCCCCTTCGGGACCCAGAAACAAAGGTGAACCTTTTCGGACCATGACTAAAAATGGACCATGGGAAAACCAAAAGGTCTAAAGGTCGATGCGCTTTGAACATTTGAGTGATTGCAGAGCGAATACTGGCTTTTGGGAAATGATAACTTCTGTGATACGGCAAGGGCTTCCCAAAGACCAACCCCTCATAAGGGGGAGATTCCCAAAGACTATCACAGAAGTGGTTGAATAAACCCCGAGTGATCAACCGCAACCCTGGAGCCATTCTTCGACTTCGTGAGGCCAAAGTATCTGGAGAGCTGGCGCGCCCTCTCTAAGCAGCGCACACCAGATGCCGAAACTTGGAGATAAACGAGGCCAGCTCCTTGCCGCCCATTTGCCAGCAGCTTCGCATGTATGGTGTAGAAGCAAGGCCAGGGATCCAAACTGGTGCAGAATTTGCTTGGGTGGTTTGCGCTCTGTTCGTTTCTTGGAGGCAAGCATGCTGAAATTCAGAGGCATTTTGGAGAACACCCCCATGACAGCATCCAGCAACACCGCCAGCAGCACACCCAGCATCACCAGCCGCGCCCCATGTTCAGTGGATTTGGAGCAGGATTCGGCGATGGTTTGGCGATGGGTTGCTGGCGAAAACATCTCACAACAAAGCCGAGGGGGCTAGGTGAATGCCAGAGCCGCAAACACTAAAGCCACAGCCGCCAAAACCAGAAAAGCCAGCAGAAGCTAGCAAACGCCACTGAAGCCATTGTCTTGTGAGCCGATGAAAGCAGAACAACTGAATAATAGTGACAGAAAAAAAGAAAAAGGACAAATCGCCCTCCTGTCCAGGCTTCCAACACTGAGATGGTTTGCTATTCATGCTATTCCCACCATCGTGACAAAAGGCCGGTTCATGGATCAATGGTTTCATTGAGCAGTCTTTCCGGTAGGACATTGGGAATATCTTCCCATGAGCCATGGCCAAGGCGGTTTCATATTACCTACCACCAGCAGGCACGAGCAAGAAGTGAGCGGCTTCCGGCGAGGCGCTGCGACGGAAGCGCGGCGTCCGAAACCGTCCTCTGCACTGCCCACATAGATGTGGGGATGCGCCTCTGAACCAAACTAGGCACCCATGCTTTGGCAAGCAGAAAGATTCGAGCCTCCAAATGGAATGCAAGTTGTGTGTGTGTGTGTGTGTGTTAAAACGTAAAACCATGAACACCCTGGATTTTGGCAAGGCCAAATGCACCTTGTCGCATGCCCAGTGGCAGCTCACACGTCATCCTTCCATTTCACCGAGGGCATGACTCTGTCATTGGCGGCCACAGCAGCGGAGAGAGTCTTTTCGATGGTTTGCGTGATCTCCTGCGCATTTGACTGGATCTGAGCCGGCTGTCCTCGGATCCCTGCTCAAAGTTTAACTTTTGGCGGGTTAAATGGAAACCCAACCACTAATCCAAAAAGCTAATAAGGTAAGGCACGCTGGGAGCCCACCAAGCCTGGCCAAAGCTGAGAGTCAAGTTCCCGAACGCCTGAGAAAAACTGATCTGATTGGAACCAACCAATCGAGCTTGGCGAGCATCAAGTTCGACCCGTTTGGATTGCCTGAAAAAGTTCACTGGAAAATGACGACATGCTGCACACGGCACGGTACCTTACATTTGCCTCTAAACATCACGCAAAACGAAGACTTGCCTGCAAAGTAAGCTAGTACATGCGTGTTTCTGCGCGCACATGCATCCCTCTTGGCACAGGTATCGGCAAATCATAATCATCAGCATGTCAGCGCTGGCAATTTCATACTTCAGTGAAAAAGACATCGTTCAGCAGGTTCCAACATAAGGCGCTCTGTATTCTGTTTTTGGGTGACAGCATGCAGGCACATGCGACTCAGCGGCTACCACTCGCAAAAGCGGAAATGACTTTCCTCAATCAACACCTCCGTGCCGGCACATGCACACAGGTACATGTACGCATCTCAATTGGCTGGTACCATGCAGCCTACGAGAGGTACTTTCAAGGCAGGGACGGCTGGACTCTACCAGCGTCCAAGCAGCAAGAAAAGAACGCATGCCCGATTTTCCTCAAGTATGGCAACACCAGCTTCAGTGTCTGGTGGGCCCAGTCTCTCCGCCCGGCTCCTTGTAGAGGTTCCTCCGCTCCGCCGCGCTGAGCGCAGGAGGCAGCACGTTGCTACGCTGCAGGTCCTGGCTCGCTCGAACAAAATCGAGCCTATGAGGCCGAGCGCCTTTTCGGGCGCGGAACTTCCGCTTGGAGTTTTCCCATGATTGTGTGCTTCCCTAGTCACAGGTAAAATGTAAAATGGATCCTAAGCCTAACCCAGTTCCCGTTTTCCCTTCCAATCAACCCCAAGAAGGATACCGACTCAAAAAAAGCACGCCGTGAGCAGAGACGTGAACTTCCAAGTAGCCAGAAGCTAGGGTCATTCTCTGCCTGGCTGGAAGCACAAGGAAGCAGAAGCAACATTATTCACCTTGGAAGGGCTACGCGTTGGTTGTGTCAAGACATGCTGGTCAAGGAAATTTGCCCATAAAGCTGAGCACCCGTCATACAAATTTGTTGAAATGGTGGACTTCTTCATTACTGTACGTACTGCTGTGACACTGAATGCTGTGCTTGCTTGAAAGCTTGTTGGGGATGCAGCGCCCCTCGTGATGCGCTTCGACGCCTGAAACTCGGTGTGCAAGCGTTTTGACTCAACCAAAGGCTTCGCAGAAACTTGACCATGAATTGAACTGCTATCATGAGGGCGCCTGAGCGAGTCAATGTCGAAGTTGTTGTTGCGCTTGAAACTTGGCGCCTTCCCCGTAGCTTGCTAGCCTAAAGATTACGCTTGATGTCAAGTCTTGCCTGGGACTGGTGAATCCTCACGTCTGCTCAGCGCAACTGTTCTTTCTGAGAAGCAAACACGACCCCTCAGAATGAGTGCATATTGACCACCAGGTTTGCTATTGGCACAGGCTCGCAGCATACAGGGATCCTCGACTGCATCAGAAACACATGGGCAAACGAGGGGATCCAAGGCTGTTGCAAAGGATTCATTGGAAACACCTTCCGCGTCGCATCCTCAGGAGCCATCGTTGTGAGAACATATATTAGAGTTCGTCTCCAAATGCATCCGACCTGGGCATTGATTGACGAACGACTCCGACCTCCTTTTTGTTTCATCGCGCGGCGCTTTCCCTTGGAGAGCGTCTCGATGACGTTCGCCACGTCCTCTCGGGCACGCCTCTCGCCGCGCTCGATGTTCTCGACCAGAAGGTCCGCTGTCGCCATCTTGGCGGCGGCACTAAAGTTGCACTCCTCGTCCTCGGAGGCGTTGACATACCGGCTCTCGTTCCAGCGCTCGCAGCCCGGAAAGTGGGGGTGGTAGCCGTCGATGTACGCAGGCCAGGAGTGGTACGTGTTAGTCCCCGGCCGCGCCTCCCCTGCCGCCATCCACAGATAGCTGGTACTCCTCTCCTGGTTCGTCACCAGGGTGGTCGTGGGGATGTAGCGCAGCGTCAGCGCGCAGCGGCGCAGGTCCGACGTGTTCGGGGCCGACGCGTGGGCAAGGTTCGCGTGCATGAGAACCACGTCGCCGGGGGAGAGGTCCAGGCTTACAGTGTCGCTGGTGGCGCTCTGGAGGCTCGCACCGAAGACGTTCTTGTCTGGATTCGTGCGGTGGGCCTGCAGGCCAGACTCATGGGACCTGGGCAACACCCGCAAACCACCGTTGCGCGAGCTGCACTCGTCCACGGCGACGAAAGCGCTGACCACCTCCATGGGCTTTAGCGGCCACACATCCTGGTGTGGCAGCACCTCAAGGCCAACACGCGGGTCCTTGCAGACGTAGTGGGACGCAAAGAGGGCCACGTCGGGACCAATCACCGGCATCACGAGGTCCAGCAGCTCGCTGTGCGTTGCGACATACATCCAGAATGCATCGCGGCGCACCAGCGGGTGGTGCAGGTGTTCCGGCGGAATCTCGGGGTACCTGGAACGCAGCCAGGTGAAGTGGCGGCCGATGCCCGACAGCAGCTCGGGGCCGACGGCGCCCCTCGCGACAGCATAGCCCTGCTCTTTCACCTCCGCGAGAAGGTGCCCTCCGACCGGAGGTGCAGTTGTGAGAAACCGGCGTGCGAGGACGTTCCCGTGTGTGAGGACACCGCAAAGTGCCATGACATCTTCGCCCGATTGCCAAAGGCTACGCGGGAGTGGGAAATTCGAGCCAAGCCACGAAGATTGATTGAATCAAGGATCCTCTTGGCTTGAGTCCACATCTGGTCTCTCATCGGTAGAGGTCACTAAAAATTGCAAGCCGGGAGCAAGCCGGAAACCCTGAAATGAAGCATGGTCTGCGGGTGGATGTTTTTCTCCCAATATTTGCCATGCACCGTGCCTCTAACCCCCTGAGATGGTGTCCAAATTGGACAAGGTTTGAGGATGGTGCCTTAAGGGCAACCAAAGCGCTCACCACCAACCGATCAAGCCACATTCCCCCCTCGCCTCGTAGCTGAGCGAGCTTAGCACCTGGTCTGCTCGGTCAGAGTTGCCCTGCTCCTGGCCGCAAGTCCCGATGGCCACAACCACATTCCCGAGTCTTGCGACCCTGCGAGACTCAACAAGCTTGCGACTCACAGGTGTGAAATTGGCCTGGCAAAAATCGACCAACACCCGGTCAATCCCCTTTTTTCAGCTTCCTTCCAGGAAAACAAAGAGTTGTGGGCGATGTAGCGATCGAATCCATGGCATTTCGCGGCATTTTAGCAAGTGAGGCTCGGGCTGCCATGCTCGACGCACACGAAACGGCAAGAAAAAGGTGGCCTCTTCACCCCTCTTTTGAGAAATGATGGGGCCCCCGTGAAAGAAAATCAACCTCCAAGCAGGATCGAACACAGAAAACTCCTCACCAAAAGGATGTCAAAAGGTAAAGCCTGTACTGCTTCCTTCCAAACAAACAGGCCAGCTGCGCTATCCACGCTTCTGCTGCGCGGACCCTGCAACGAGGCTAGGGTTCAAGCCGGCCCGCCCGCCTGCCCGCATCTCTTAAAACAAACAAAGCCGACTGATGAGAGAGCCTCTTGCTTTGTTTGATTTGTGGGCTTTGAATATCTCCCCCCTATCTTGAGCATCCCCCATTTCCGCAGGCAGGATGGGACAAGCGCCACAGGATGCATACCAGCACCCTCTTGCCGCTGAACTAAGTTGAACTAAGGCGAACTCAACCACTTGACGTGATGCTCTTTGAAGTTACAGGCACTCCTTTCTTTCGTCATGGGCCACGCGAAAACCCAAGCGCATGCTTGCTGTTGCAAGCGAAAAGCCAACCCCAAAGGAAACCACACCCGAGCCAAAGGATGGAGCGCTTTCTCGCCTCAGGTTGCGCAGGTCCACGTCTGTGCGATCCCCTGGGTCCTGCCGAGCCGTCGGAACCGGGCTGCCGATGGGCTTAGAAGGGATCTGCATGGGGGAGACACATCCCGTGAGTCGGCCTTGGTTGATCAATCCGGTGTAAAGATTCATCTTCATAGGGAAGTAGGGGTGCCGTGCGACATGTCAAGGAAACCTCCCCAAACATCCTCAAGTCAGGCCAGGGGAAACCCCTTTTGCATGGTGCTATGCCAAAGGGAAACCGAGATACCATCCGGGTGGGAAATTTGGGTTTGTCTTGTTCTAATGACAGTTTGGCGAGGTGTACCCAAGGTCACCTTTTTTGCTACAGTACCTGATGGTGGACATTGATTGAACCTGCCGCACGCTTGCCGTGAAAAGAAACTGCACAAATGACTGAGTTTCGAAAGTAGAAAGTCATGAAACTCAGGGAGTGAGGTCAATTGCCAACCCCATGCTTCAAAAATCGTTAAATTGTAAATAAACATGAATAAACTGTTCACATTTGGTTCAAACAATGCTATGTAAGAGCTGCTTGAAACAGGGAAAGGAAGGCTGTAAATTGAAGTCAGCAAACGGAACAGGATTGTGTGACCAACTGGTGTTGGCTTAACACTTGCATCCAGTTTACACACTTTCCTTAAATTTAGCACTAACATAGCATCTGTGGGGGGGTATCTGGAATATCAATATCCTCTTGAACCCTCTGTCAAGTGCCATGGCGACGCGAGAGGGAGGGCAACCCGCTTTTTGGGACAACCCAATGTCAGGGAAGACTTTGGGACACTAAGCAGTTTTTAGGGATGTGTTCGGGACACTAATCCATTTTTAGGGAAGTCTTACAAACACACGCACCCATTCTTTAGGCTCCAAAACATGAATACATATATAAATATATAGTTATATAGATATCTAATAGATAAAAAAATCCTTCGTCTCCCACGAAAGAGAAAACCTTCCGCCTTGAGCACCTCAAGCGACTCGAGTCCTCCAGCAACGCTTCCAGGGCCAGAGCCGCCTCCTCCACCTGTGCCGAAGGGGCCGCGCTGAAGGGACCGAGAAAAGGGGGGGAGGGGGGCAGAGGGCGGGAGAGAGTATGGAATACTTTTGTCTTTTTCTTCTTGTTTTACAAGAGGTGTGTCTATGTAACATGTGTGTCTATGTAATGTTTGTGTAGTACATGTAACATAATATACGTATAATACATATATATATATATGAATGAATCTATAAAAACATGTGTACATATACGCCAAGGACGGATGGTTCGCTGCCGGTCCAACAGCAAATCGCCCGGCTTTCTGTTTTCAGACCTCCAGCCAGTGGCAGCCATCTACACGGAAAGCATCTCGGGGACTCAGCCTAATCTGGCCCCTGGACAGGGTTTGTCTATACATTTTGCTTCCAGGACTGCCACCACACCGGGTCGCCTATGCACGTGTGCACTTGCAATCAACTCCGCTTGTTCCATCTTTGATGAAGGGTCCGCACAAAACATCAGAGCAAGACTCAGCAAGACATGTGTTGCTTGCGTGTGCATACAGATCACCTTTCCTGGACATGTGTATATAGATATATATATATATAGTATCCTGGCCCCGCAGGACAGAGTGCGTCTAGTGTTTGAACGTCTGCTGCGACACAACACTGAGTGCCTTGCACGGGTTCGTCTAACGTCTACAGCGAACGTAACTCCCCCTCCCCACCCCCTTCATTGCCCCACTGGCACGCCGCAAACCGTGCGCTAGAGTGCCCGAGAGAATCCTACTGCGTTTACGGTGCTGCAAAATACGGTGAACCATGCGTCCTGCGGGTACATACATATATCCGCCGACAACAGGCAGCGTGTTGGACATAAGAAATGCTCCTTACCTCTTTACCCCGGGCCTGCTCCTGCGCGCGGAGGTCCTGAGCGCGTTTCGCGAAAAACGAACAGCGACCGGAAACTGCCCGGGCCTTTGGGCGCCCTCCGCTGCGTGGGCGCTTCCACCTGCCGCGCGTGAAAATCTTGACTGCGAGAAATTGTCTGTGGGCCGCAGACTTGCCCGCCCTGCCGCGCGGGGGCGGGGCAAACCGGCTTGGGTCCTAGGCAGCCCCGGCAAGATGCTTGCGAAAAGGAACATCAGTTGACCCAACGCGAGCGCGAACGCCCTCACGCCAAAGCCGCCGACCTTAGATCAGAGCGCTTGCGGCGCAGAAAATTTGCCAGGACGCGCCGAGGCGCGAGCCCAAACCACGCGCCTTTCGCGGCGGCGGCTGCGACGTGTGTCCAACGCGGCTGGAGTTGCCACCTTGGTAAAAATGCTGACTGACCGCAAAGGGGCCCTGCTAACGTCTAACTTGATGATAAGCTCGCGGCGCCGGACTGCAGCCAGTCCAAGAAGCTTGGCACCTCCGCGGCGGGCGCTGCTATGGCCCTGCCCGCCTGCCCTCCGCAGCCCAAAGCGGAGCCTCTTGGAAATCTCCGCCGCTCGCCTTGGCAGAAAACGGGGCTTCAACTTGCGCGCGGGACAGCGGCTCCAAGGGTCCGACCAAAAGGAGGCGTCAGATGTCACCTCAAGACGTGGAAAAAACGCAGCCGAGCAAAACGGGCTCCGCGCGCCCGGCCCACAACTGCTCAACATCCTGCGCAGACGCGCGGCTCGCGCTTGCAACCCTTCGCAACAAGTGCGCCTCCAAAGCCAAATCTTCCCAGCGCGCGGACATGGCAAAGAAGACGTGTCGCGTGCCTTAAGCTTGCAGGACGCCCGCCTAATGCGCCTGACCCCAACCCATGCCAAGGGGCGCAAGTTGCAAGCAAGGCTTTATTCTTGAAAGCTGCGGCGGCCGCCGGTGAATTGCATTTCTTCAACTAGCTTGCAAAGAGCTCAGACGACGCCGACTTCAAGACTTGAGACGTGCCTGTGGCGAGCCGCCCCCGCGGCGCGCTGGGCAAGCCGCGCTGGCCTGAGAAGCGAAACTCGCCGGCCGACTTGCCCCTCGAAGGGGGCGCTGGCAAGGGCAAAGCCGCAAAGCTAAGCCCGTGACGGCCTGTGTAGCCTGACGGTCCTGACAGCAAACTTGCTTGAAACGTTGGGCCTCCAAGCGGCCCGGGCAAAGAAAGTTCTGACAGGGACCGGCTTAAGTTCCTTGCCACTCCGGCGCCCCGTGTCTCTTTTGCAGGATTTAAGGTTAGCTTCTTTCCTGTCTTCGGGGGTTCGCGGCGCTTGCTTTATAAAGACGAGAGGATGTAACAGAGGCGCGCGAGGCGCGCGAGCGTTTGTCCTTCCGACCAATCCCTGGGGAAAGCAACGTCGCCCCGCCCCTGGAAATCTGGCTTTGCTGCAGCGGCGCCTTTGGCAAAGACCATCGACCGGCGCTGGGCCGGTGAAAGGTTTCCCGCTTTTCTAGTGGCGATCTATGTGGCGGCGTCGCACGCCGTCTCATTTGCTTGCTTTCCTTATTCTGCACTGCGATGGGTTGAGACTCAATGGTCCGCGCGTCAGCGCACCTCTTTGGCGCCGTTCAGGCTCAAACGCGTTGCCATTGGGGGTGGCAAAAAATACACCCCCCCTTACCTCAGAATATTGGGGGGGGGTGGCTTCCAAGACGTTCCTCAAAATCAATAATCCTTTCTTCTGGGGGCTGTGCGGGAGGGGTGTTCGATTCCCCCAGCATCACCTGCATCATCCGCATCAGCGACTGCCAAGGATGCGGATGATGCAAGTGATGCTGGGGATGTTGCCCAGAAAATGCATGGAAATGAATGACATGAAGTGAAATGAAATAAGGGAACAAAAGCAGACATAAAGGGACATGAACCGAAGTGAAGGAAAGTGAAGGGAAAAGATCTTCGGGGGAAAGGGGGGGGGGGTGGAAGGGATGAAGATCTTGGGGGACAAAGGGAAGGATCTTAGGGAGGAAAAGGGAGAAGACCTCAGGGGGAGAAAGGGCTTAGGGGGCAAAGGGGGGAAAGGATCTCAACAGGGAAAGGGGGGGGAAAGATCTTAGGGAGGAAAAGGGAGAAGATCTCAGGGGGAAGGGGGGAAGGGGGGAAAGGAGGGGAAGCATCTAGGGAGGAAAAGGGAGAAGATCTCAGGGGGAGAAAGGGGGGAAAGGATCTCAAGAGAAAAAGGGGGGAAAGATCTTAGGGAGGAAAGGGAGAATCTGGGGGGAAAAGGCCTTAAGGGGGGGGGGGGGGGGAAGGATCTTAGGGAGGAAAAGGGAGAAGATCTTAGGGAGGAAAGGGAGAAGATCTGGACGGAAAAGGCCTTAAGGGGGGGGGGGAAGGATCTTAGGGAGGAAAAGGGAGAAGATCTCAGGGGGGGAAAAGGCCTTAGGGGAAAGGATCTCAACAGGGCAAGGAGGGAAAAGATCTTAGGGAGGGACAGGGAAAAGATCTGAAGGGGGGAAAGCCTTGGACAGAAAGGGGGGAAAGGATCTCAACAAAGAAAGGGGGCAAGAGATCTTAGGGAGGAAACGGGAGAAGATCTGAAAAGGCCTTAGGGGGGAACAGGGAAAGGGGTGTAAAAGATCTTAGGGAGGAAAAGGGGGGAAAAGGCATTAGGGGAGAAAGGAGGGAAAGGATCTCAACCGGGGGGAAAGATCTTGGGGAGGAAAAGGGAGAAGATCTCAGGGTGGGAAAAGGCCTTAGGGGGGAAAGAGGGGAGAGGACCTCAACAGGGAAAGGTGGGAAAAGATCTTAGGGAGGAAAAGGGAGAAGATCTCACAAAACGCCTTAGGGGGGAAAGGGCGGGAAAGGATCTCAACAAGGAACGGGGGGAAAAGATCTTAGGAAGGAAAAGGGGGAAGATCGCGGGGGGAAAAAAGGCCTTAGGGGGGAAAGGAGGGAAAGGATCTCAACAGGGAGAGGGGGGAAAACATCGTAGGGAGGAAAAGGGAGGAGATTTCAGGGGGGGAAAAGGCCTCAGAAAGAAAAGGGGGGAAAGGATCTCAACAGGGCAAGGGGGGAAAAGATCTTGGGGAGGAAAAGGGAGAAGATCTGAGGGGGGGAAAGGCCTTAGAGGGGAAAGGGGGGAAAGGATCTCAACAGGGAAAGGGGTGTAAAAGATCTTAGGGAGGAAAAGGGAGAAGATCTTAGGGGGGAAAAGCCTTAGGGGGGAAAGGGGGGAAAGGATCTCAACAGGGAAAGGTGGGAAAAGATCTTAGGGAGGAGAAGGGAGAAGATCTCGGGGGGAAAAGGCCGTAGAGGGAAAAGGGGGGAAAGGATCTCAACCGGGAAAGGGGGGAAAAGATCTTAGGGAGGAAAAGGGAGAAGATCTCAGGGGGGGGGAAAGGCCTTTGTGGGGGAAAGGGAGGAAAGGATCTCAACAGGGAAAGGGGGGGGGAAAGATCTTAGGGACGAGAAGGGAGAAGATTTCGGGTGGAAAAGGCCTTAGGGGGGAAAGGGGGGAAAGGATCTCAACCGGGAAAGGGGGGAAAAGATCTTAGGAGGAAAAGGGAGAAGATCTCAGGGTGGGAAAAGGCCTTAGGGGGACAGGGGGAAAGGATCTCAACAGGGAAAGGTGGGAAAAGATCTTAGGGAGGAAAAGGGAGAAGATCTCAGGGGGGAAAAGGCCTTGGGGAAAGGATCTCAACAGGAAAAGGGGGGAAAAGATCTTAGGGAGGAAAAGGGGGAAGATCTCAGGGGGGGGGGAAGGCCTTAGGGGGGAAAGTGATCTCAACAGGGAAACGGGGGCAAAGATGTTAGAGGGGAAGGGGGGCAAGGGGAAAATTCCAAAGGGACGCAAATGAGAAAGAGCCGGAGGCGTTAAAATATATATATATATATATATATATATTATACAATACTGTATACATATTGGATAAGTACACACAATATATGGCACCAAGACCCCATTCTAATTAGCTGGACCGTGTGGCACCTCGCAAACACGGAGCCTCTGAAGCTTTCAACATGTGGACGAAGAATCAGGCCGAGCTCCGGAGCATTTCAGGGACCTTGCCTGGGTGTGCTGGGGATCATTTGTCACATGCAGCACGAGCTGCAATCAACTGACGACCTGCGCACAACATCCTTGCTCCAGAGCCAAATACATGAGACACACACACACACACACCAGTTGTCCGGCTAAAAACACTGTTGCTCGTGTCTTGTTCTTAGCGACTTTGCGATCAATTGAACAGATTGCCCAATCCCCCCCCCTTCCCAAGAAGCATCTTCGGGGGCATGGCTGCGCCAAAAACAAGAGACTCGTTCGGGCAACATACCGCAATGTACCCATTCCCTAATTTGCCGGGCAGGTGCTGATGTGTTTCGAGCATCGAGAGGAGATGTTTTAATGGTTTCGGCAGCATTTCGCAAAGGTCAGCTTCGGCAATTTCAACTTCGCCGTGATGTGACAATGCGCACTGCAAATTCCATCATGAGTGTAGTCTAAACAACTCATTCTATCTGGGCAAAACATAACTCAGCAACCCGCACAAGGGACCCACGAGCATGGAACCTTACTCATGGCCCTTAAACCACCAAGAAGGGTATCCTCAACAAAAAGGAGCCATGAACCAAATGACTCTTTTACTTCAAAACCCCACAAACAAGCACCTTCCAAAGCCATCCCCCCTAAAATCCCCCAACCATCCCCCCCTCCCCCCAACCATCCCCGCCCCCCACCTCGCCATCCCAACCTCCCCCCCCCCCGTCCGGCCTTCCCCATGCGCCAAAGGCACATGGCCTGGCGCTCCCGGAGGTCCTCCAGCTGGCACTCCGCGAGCCTCAGCTTTCCGCCGTGGGCCCTCTGCTTCCCAGCGCCGGGGTTGCAGGGAAGCCCCAAGGGAAATCCCACTTCAACCCCCCGCCTTCCCCGCCCCCCCCCCAACAAAAAAGAGAGAAAGAATATACGCACATCCGTCTTCATGCAATCATCGCCTCACCAAAGGAGACTAAACTCAAATTGGTGGTTTATATGAAGGTGGCGGAAGGAACATCTTGCCCCGAACAGAAGGAACGTTGCAGAAGGAACGTTGCAGTGTCCCTTGTCCCAAACAAAGCATGATCATATTGCGCTGGAACCGCATTTGGGTTTCATGGGAGAAACCCCAAAAATGGTGTCTTGACCTTGGAAGTTCTTCAAGATAGTATCCTCTTTCCTTGGAAAAAGGGTCAGCGACACCGTGAAGGGCTACCCCAAGCAGAACCAAAGCTTCTCAGTGCATTGGGATTTTTGAAGGCAGCTCGGCGGGTGAAAAAACCGTCAGGATCCGGGAGTAGAGCAAGACCCTGAGCCACCGGATTTAGAACTCCGGTGGCATCGCGCAAAGAAAAAGAGGGGAGGGCTTTTTTTTGGGGGGGAACTGCAAGTGGTCAAAGCGCTCTCAAGATCAATAGATTAGTTGGACATTTTGGATCGATCCAATGGACGGATTCGGGAATCGGCAGGACCCTGCCGCGATTCTCCACTCAGCTTTTGGCCTTGTTACCTGGGCCTAGGAATCCGGGCAGCTGCAAGATGTGGTGCGCCTGCTCTGCAGCCCAGGGCCGAACCTGAGCGGAGCGCATGAACCCGCTGCAATGGATCTAGTGGGTGGGACTAGCTCGCAGTGACCCCGAACATTTTTCAGGATTGCCGAGCCTCATAACTCCAAGGGTTCGAATCTGGGCTGAACTTCCAATTTGGCTGTGGGTCAAAACCCTGTACCCCTGGTGAACATCAGCATGGGTGGTACATGGGTGTTCATCCGCCCCAAAATGGAGGCATAGGTTATGACCCATCGCCATTTGGCCTTTTCTGAGAGGCCGGCCTTGGCCCGCTGCCGCCACCGCTGGCTGACCGTGTCCGCAGTCGTGCCCGCATCTGCCAGCAAAGCCTCAGATGGCCATGGAGCAAACCCCGTACCCCCAGTGAACATCCCAATCCCCACTAAAATAGCCAAAAATGGGTGGTGCACCTATTCCAAAATAAAATGGTACCATTGGTTTTGAACCATGGCCAAACGGGCCACAAAATTACATGCCGGCCATCAGCCCATCAGCCAAGGCACGTCCACAAGCAGCAGGTACAGATCTTGATGAGTCTCCGCAGGGTGAGACAAGACAACCTGGCAGCGCCCGCCCGGTCAGCCCGAAGCCCCCTGTCCTGCAAGCAACCTGAATTCAATTCGAAAAGGACAGTATTAGAGATCTGCAAATGAGTCACAGTCAACATAATGCTATTCTTACAATGGGCATCCATCCCCCCGTTTCAGTAGCTGAAACTTGTCTCCAAGGGAAAACAACAACTCACGTGACCATGAACCTCATGTCTTCCTTGCCGCTAAATCACTCAGCTGAATCTCTGGCGGTTTGTCACTTTCGGATCTGGCAAGGGAAGTCCAGCCCAAAAATGGCCGTGTGAGTCAGAATCAAAACCGTCAGGTATTTCACTACATGGTCCAATCCCAGAACCGTGCTTCCAGAATCAAAAAGGCTGCGAACGCAGCCGTTTGTGGCTGGAATTCTCCCTTAACCTTCATCTACCCGGGTTTTGAGGACGTGGCTCATATCTCCCTAACCTCGTTTAGCGTGATTCCTTGCAGAGAAGCGAGGGCCCGCACCTCGATGGCGCACTTGCCCACTGGGTCCTCTTCATCCTTGGCCCTCAGATCAAACTCAACTCCGGGACTTGGCGAGCACAACGTAACCCATTCGACCGAATTTTGAAAATGACCGGTCGCAAGTCGGGAAAGGACCCCTGAAAGTGTAGAAACTGCTTGCGGGCGCGCCTCGGTTGACCAAGCACAAATGGGAAAGCTTGAGCACAGGCTTCATGCCACAAGGACGTGCGACTGACACAACGGCGCCCGTCATCCCACGCTTAAACCCAACGCTTGCCACCACTATGGCATGTGGTCAGAAAACTGATCACGTAACATTTAGAGACATAAAAACCTAGGCTACCAATTCTAGCGGGAAGCTAGCACTGGGAAATGCACTGGGAAACGAAAGAATGTCTTTTGCCCAGCGCCATGTAGTCGGTTGCTTCCCGCCGAAACAAATCATGCGCATCCTGCGTACGCGCGTTTGTTTGTGTGATGCGGAAACACGGCTTCCTTTCGCATCGGTCAACTTTGTGGTTACTGTACCTTCCGTCGCGAGAAAGCAACAAGTATAGCCACAGTATAGCTTTGAAACAGTCTACATCCAACCCATCTATGGGAGTCCCATGAAACTCATCGAGCTGCTATTGGCTGCTCGTTTTGCCCGAGTTCGAAAAGCCGAAATCAGGTGAAGAGCTCATCTGGTAAAAGCCGGAAAATCATCTGCACGGTTGGGGCGATGCTCGAGAGACCAGAAAAAAACAAAAGGCCAGCAATTTCAAACGGCTGTGCCCCGCCCCCAAAAGGCGGCCACAGCTTGCTTTGTAACCCCATCCAAAAGAAGTTCGCTCCCAACACACCCCGACCTCGCGAGGGCTCCGGCGGGATCTGGCACAAAGCCGCGCCCAGCTTGGCCACCAAATCCACCGGGCTGTTGTGCAGACGCTTCATCAACGCCTTCGCTCCCGCGGCCCTTCCTGCGACCCTGCGACCCCCCCCTAGAAGCGCTAGCAAGCCTAGCAAGCCTTAGGCTTTAGCAATTGGCAAGCTCCGAGAACTCGAGGGCTCAAAGGACAAGGTTTTGGTTGAAAAGAAGGCTTCCTTTCTAACCCTTGCCAAGGGCTGCTAAGACAGTAGAATCGTCTCAATATAGGTCCTCCTCACATTTGCAATGGCTAACCAACTAAAAGACAAGGAGCGACGCAACGAAGCAGCAAGCACAAATGTGAGGATCAGCCACATGACCAACTCACCAAGTAAGAGCAGAACTGCTGACCGAACAGTTGAGCAGCAGCATGGCTCAGCACTGCAGCTAGGCATCCACAGTGCAAAAAGGGAGCCCGCTGCAAATGTTCTGCCGGTGTCTTGCAAAGCCTTTTTAAGCCTTGGTAAGCCTTGGTAAGCCTTGGTAAGCCTTAGCAAGGCTTGGTAAGGCTCAAAAAGGCTTGGAAAGACAAGGTATGACGCGATTTGAGTGATTTCCGTCAAAATCCACGGCTGCCAAAGCTTGGCAAGGCTCAAAAGTAGAGTCTGCGGTCGGTAAGCTATGTGAATTGCTTTCGATGGCCCCTTACTTTCATATGAATTCACAACAGCAGTAGGTGGCACACCTTCAATTCATTCAGCTCAGGGTCCGAATTGAATTTGTTGTGTCACTTGCGTCACTCTGGACGCGCCACATTCAAGTCCACTGATGGCGAAGTGCTTGTATCGGTTTTCCTGCCATTACAAACTGTACGACTCACATCCAACGTGCTTGCTTTGTCTGCATCATGAAACTTTTCAGCTTCGATGACAGCGCGGCAAAACCTGATCAAGCCTTTGTGGGGTGGGGGGGGGGGGGGGGAAGGGGGGGGCTGCTCTGAAGGCGAAAAGAAATATCCGGAACACGCGCGGAGACTGCTGAGATCGGTCACCCTTGAAAGCGAAGGATCCAACCACGAGTTGCTTCCCCTGCTCAAGAGCTGCGCAGTGGAGGAGGTGCCAAGCTTACCCCTTAAAACTCCAAGCCCTGGGGAATTTAATCTTTTACATACATATAGCCCATGTTACCCAAAAAGTTAAAAAGTTGTGTTCTTAAGAGAAGCAAGAGTTCAATGCGCTCCCAGCCTCACAGTTCCATCGCTCTCTCACCCGTTTCTCCAGCTGTGCGATGAGTTTTGCCCCCTTTTTTGTTTTTTTTTGGGGGAATGCCGAGAAACAGAGCCTTCACAATGCGTCAGGGAAACGTCTTCCGCATTCAAAGCGTTTAGATAATGCCGTCCGAACGTCTTCATGAATGATCATTCAATTGGGCCCCAAGAATAACAATGCAGACAAATCCCCAAATCGAACCACAAAGGCATCCTGCAACATTTGAGCAAACAGCCTTAGATTCACAAGGAAAGCGATGGTAACAAAGTCACACCCAGGCAACAGCTATGCCGCACCGAAGCAGTGGAACTTCCAGTGCAACGGTAGCAGGAATCTTCTCAATGCTAGAATCTGTGTCAAAGCGACGCCAAAACAAAAGCATCTCCAAAATCGCTCGTGGCAGAAGCACTTCAACTACATGTCTAACACACCGGTTAACAGTCAAGCCATACTCAAGATAAACCACTTTATGTCATTCGTTAAACATTCCACTCGAACAACGCTGTAGCAATGCGACGCCAATACTAAAAAATGAAACTCCAAATTGGTCTCAGCAGGAAACCATGAGAAGGGGAACACTAGAGACTACTTGCGTCGATCGGGGTTAGTGGCAACAGACAAGCACTCGGCGAATCAAATCCCCAACTCCCACTTTGAACCGGAAATCTAGAGGCTGCAAAGGCTACAGCCCCCAAAATCCCCCACATGCTACAACCAGGAGAACCCCAGTCCCTTTTCAACCCTCATAATTTTGCACTGATCAACGTCGCCTTCTAAAAAATGTCAGTTTCAGGGTTAACAACCCCATAAATCCTGACTTTGAGAACGGTCGAAACAATGACCCCAACCCCACTTTCTGGCTTTGATACCCCCTTCCCCCCCGCCCAAAACCGTCAAAAAATCACGACCCCAGCTTTGCCCACGTCTGATTGACAGCCTTGGTGTCAGTCGCGGGGATCAACGCCAGCGCCGTGCTCTTGCCGTCGCCCTCGCTGCCTGGCCCAGCGACGAAGCTACGGATGGTGACGCGAGATCCGCGGATCTCGCACCCAGAAACCCAACAATTTCTGACTCGATTCCCCTGCAAATACCAACAATCAATGGAATCCCTGACCAACGGAATGAGTCGCTTCCCCAACGTAAATACCAAGGATCAATGGTTTCGAGCATTGTTTCAAAGCGGCACAGGATTGCCCAAAAGTAACAATACCAAGAAACGTTATTTATTGTTTCAACGTCCGTGCCAAATGTTCGTCCATTCACATTAAGGGTTGGAAGGGGCTGACTGGGATTCGTCGCATCACTTTTACCCTGAATCCGATGCGGCTCCAAAAAAGGCCTGAGCAGGTGCAGGGGCGAGCTACACACACGTCTGCAGGGCATTTGCTGGGGAACGCACACACGAGATGCTGCAATACAAACTCGTGTGGCGATTGTCCACATGTTGCTCTTAGTCACACGCTGCCCTGCTGCGCAACTGCGAAACAAAGGCAACTGCAATTTTCAAGTGGTGCTGAGGCGGACGCCGTAGCAACCAACACGCTGATAAAGGTAATTCAACCAAACCAGTCCGTCTGATTGCCCACACCCAGAACCAGAGCTGGCGCAGAAATAGAGACGCTAGCGCACTGTTCGGCTCTGCTGCATTCTTGCTGGATCTGGGGCACTGTGGAAAGAAGTGTCGTGCACTGCGGCGCGATCAGTTGTAGCGTCATGCTTGGCCCGACGACGATAGCGGCCATGTCGCTAGCAAGGCCACGTGTGCTGCAGAGCGCAAGTCGTCGGATGCTCACACCAAACCAGGAGTCCTTGATGCGTTGGTAGACGAGAATTCGTCTGCATGCAACAGCCATGTGGGTGTGGGGTCAAAACTAAACCACCAGGATATGAACCGCAGGTTTTAGTCCATGTTTCCATCCAGGGTTCCCCAAATGGGTACCCATGTTTGACCCATACGCATATGAAACTCTGCAATGGGTGATTGGCAGGTTCCTCGCAGTGCATCCCTCCATCGCCCAGTTCCGGCGGGCAAGCGCCCAGTTCCCTGATTCCGAGCTATCTCTGGCGCACACGCGGCACAGCGCGCACCAACCCTGGCGGCAAGCGCAAGTGTGGTACTCTGCGGCTGCTTCACGAGCGAGCCACTTGCAAGTCAGAGGCCACAAAAGTGGCCCACGCAGTGGGCAACTCACGCGCCCGAGGCGCCAAGGGACTCGCTATAGGTTCCCTAAGATCACCCCGAAGCAGAAGGAAACTCGCTTACGTTGGTGGCCCGAACAATGATGCTTAAGCCATCAAGCCAAAGGAAAAACATGAAAAACCTTTTGGGGAGTTTTGGGGCGCCACTGGTACTGTGTCTGGACCACCGACACCCGTAATTCGAGGAATGGAGAGGGCAGAGCTGCCCATCCGCCTGGCGCTGGCGTCAGGTGCAGAAGATCCTTCAAAAGCTGCGCGCACCTCGGGCGGCACGGCCTTACATGGCCTTACAAGGAACTGGAGATGACTTCAGTCAAAACAACTTCCTAATCGGGCGTGCGCCAAAACTTGGAATCGGCTCCTCCAAATGGCGGAAGGAAACCATCTTGAAGTCATGTTTGATGCCAAGCCTGCATGCCAAGCCATGGCTTTACGCCAATGACGTCCATCTGATTTGCAGTTCACTCCCTGGAAAGGCACCGGAAAGGCGTGGGAAACTGACCCGCCTCGAATTCAGCCGTCAGAACTTTCAAATCAAGATGGGGTCACTCGCAGGCTCAACAAAATGTTAAAATCGCCACTTTGTTCGAGCAGCATGCGGCGGGGTTGCCTTTGTGCCGAATCAATTGCGGCGTGCATGCCCAGGGCAACTCCTGGCTTTCTCCTTTTAAAACCAAAAGGGGTCCCCAAAAGAATGCGAAGCGAAACGGATGGGAATTCTTGAACATAGTGGGGTTGTGTAAAAAAGGGAGTTATAAGTAAAAGGCCGTGTCGTTGTTATATATATATATATATTATATTCTTATTACTCCTCATCGTTTTGCAGCGTTTTGGCTTTCGTATTGGAACAAAAACTCTCCCAACCAACTTAGTTTGATGGTGCTCAGCAGGGGGGGGTGGGAATGAACCCAGGCTTTCCCCCAGGGTCATTCTATCCAACTCATTCCCTGCATCCCTCGCACCAGCAAACAAGCCAAAACACTCTCCCAACAGTGGTTCTGGAGAGCAGAAACGAAAACCACTTCTTGCACACTTTGAAAGCTCCGGGTTTGGCTGTGGGTCAAAACCCAGGAAACCCTGGTGAACATCAACATAGGTGGTACATGGGTGTTCCGCACCAAAATGGTTTGGCATAGGTTCTGACCCGATTCGCCCGTTTCTCCCAACACTCTTGGAATACAGGCAGGAAAAACCATGGGGTAGGCCACACGAAAGTTTCACCCCCCCCCCCTCTGCTCCATGAAAAACCACTTCTTGCAACCACTTGGAATTCGAACGCTTTGGGCTCTCCCGAACGAAACCGCCTTTTGCTCGATCTTTCCGAGTCCGCGTCTTCTCAAAGTCGCGGAGCTCCATGAGGACCTCACGCAACCGCCACGCTGGAGGGCGGGTTTCGGGGGGGGGGGAGGCCAAACCCGCTGGGTACCTGCCGCCTTTAGACCCCCGGCGTGGTGGTTTTGGGCGGTTTTCTCTTGGATGTCATTGGCGCCTGAGGGGCGCGTGTGGCGGTTTGGGGCAGTGGTTTCGGCCCTACAGCACTGAAACATCATTGGGAATGCGAACAACGCCAGCCTTGTTTCGTCGATTTTTGCGCGCACGGCTATTGCATCGATGGCGTGCACGAAAGCTATTGGTTGTGTCCATGGTCTTCTGCGACAGCTGCTCCCGACTTTTACCAAAATGCCAGGGCTCCGTGCGGCGCGGGTACCAAGTTTTGGGATAGATGGGCTCCACTGGTAAATGATTAGACAAACATCCAAACCATTCCAAACCCGGAACTGACCTTAACAGGACACCCTTTCTTTTGACTGGCATCGCTTGATTTGTCACATTTTTGGAAGCCCTTCAAGTAACACGCCGGTGCGAGGCTACAGCCAGAGGGGTGCACGGGCTGCTTTCCATTCGGCTCCAGCTTCGAAAAGAGCCCAATGGCGGGAGGGTGATTTGTTTGCACCTGAAACACAACAGAACAGTCGACCCTTGAGTTTTTGCTTTCGTAGTAAGCCTGAGCCCGCCAGAATCCCAGCAAATTACGGGTGATAAGCCGGACCATAGGAAGAGCGCCTCTCCAAATCGAGGTGTGGTCTACAAATCACATTGACATGAGTCGCATGCATGAGCCACTGTCAGGCTGGTTTGTAATTATTCTTTTTCAGCGCGAATGCACCAAAAGTCTCCACACATCATTCGTTGAAGACGATCACATATAAAACATCCTGAGTTTGATCATCTGAGCACTCATCTGAATTCCATTTGTAAGCTAACAAAGTTCGGCATTGCGGCAGTGGGACAACCTGTTCTTCGTGCGTGTTCCCGGTACTCCGCAAGGCAAGGACTTGTCTTGCCGGCGACAATCCCGGGAAGTGAAGGATGACGGGGAAGGGCGTAGCTTAGCCCCTAAACACATGCAGCCAAGTTGACCCCAACGCAGACATCTCCAGCCCCGCTTTGTGAGACCTTGTGCGCCCGCATACCCCACCCCAACCTCCGCCAGGATGTTCAAGGTGTTCAGGTCCACTCGCGGGGGTTTGGCCTGGCCAAGGACATTCTTTCCCAGCGCACCCCCATAGCCCCGTAGCCCTTTTTCCAACTGAGTTTGGTCAAAGCCTTTGGGGAAAGCGGATGTTTTGGACCATGAAGTGCAAATGGTTGTTTCAGGCCCCAGGAATCCCCTCGCCTCAAACCCCATGCAAAGACATGTCAACAAGCGCCGCCAGTGCGGGTTTCATCCGAGGATTTGTCCGATGGTTGATGGCAGCATGCCTGTTTCCCCCCGATCTTCCCCCCGCCAATCCCAACCCTCAACCGTCTAATGCGTCTGCCTGCCCCAAACAGCTTCTCACCTCACAACCTTCGACTTTACTGGGCTGCCCTCAGATCCTCCGCTGACAGTGAGTAACTTTTAGTGGCTTAAATGGACACTGCCACTAAACACTGAAAGGCTAAAAAGCTAAGGAACCGGATGGCTGGGAACCAAGTTTAGACCGCCTGGCACTTCTTGCCGTCGGCTTCGAAAAAAGGCAGCTCCGTTTTGCAGAGGACACGAGCGGACCTGCCGTGGTTCGGCACGGCCGGGTCTGCATGGCCGGATCGCCGGCCTAGACACAGGAATGTGGCAAAACGATCACTCGCAGAATCGGTTCAGTCGGGTTTTAGGTCTTCGAAAGAAAGAGGACCCTCTGTTCGGCACATTCCCGAATTCTTCCTCGAAATGGGGTGAAGCTCGATTACCCTCGGCACGCGGCACGCGGGTGCGGCAGTCAGAGGCCGTGATTGATTTGGGTTCAAAAGCTTGGCTCTGAAAACTGCAAGCTTACCAAAAGGACTCAGTCCCAAAACTGAACCATTGGCGAAGAATAAGCCCGGTTGAAACGGTTGAAAGACACTTCAAGTTCATTCACCAGAATGTGCGGCATGGAAAAAGTCGGTATCGAAAACCACGCCTCTTTCCTTCGCCGCAAACCGCGGCAACACGTCCCACCGGTGCCACGTGTAGCTCCGGTGCTCCGGCAGAGCAAAGGCTCTGCCCGCCCTGGAGCATAGGAAGCTGCACCTCGCCTCTTCGGCCCGTAGGGGGCAATGGGCCCCCGCATTTGGTGATCACAAACTTGAGCAGCACCCAAAACTTCCATCTGGTTAAGACCCCTCAAAAAAAGTGTAAAATTATTTCCAGCAGTGATAAACTCCTTTCAAGACCAACAAGGGAAAAACAACATATTCTTCAGCAAATGGAAGAAAACTCGTCGACTTTTGATTCTACCAACGTGGAAAAAGGCCTACTGAATCAGTAAGGCAGGGCCTCAGCGATGGGACAGGGTCTCCCAGCTGGCAAGGTGCTTAAAATCGGCCCACGTGGCGCTTCAGAATCGATCAGGTGAAGGTGTTCGCATTCCTCAGCGACGAGGGTTGGCCAAACTTGGTGATAAACCACAGGCTGGCAGCCCGGCCGCTCACTTAAGAGCGGAGCGAACCAGTTGCCGTCCCAGCCTTCGAACCACAAAGCCATTGAATCCCTTTTTGAAGTACCCTCCCGTCCACTAACATGGAGCCTGACATCTCGGGTCCAAAACGAGTTCCCTTGAAAGGCACCCGGTAGGTCCGATGTTAGACAAAAGGGATGGAACCTGACGTTCGGGGGTCCCTTCAAAAAGGACAACGGTTTTCCAGGACCCGAACGTCAGGTTCCATGTGAAAAAGGTGGGAGGGTAACCCGTTTGGATCACTTCACCAGTATCTGGTGCTGTCCTTGACGTGTACGAGTCTTTGTTTGGGGTCAAGGCTCGGCGCTGCGCTTGGCGCTGCTTCCGCACCTTGTGGCTGGCGCGCTTCGTCCTGTGCCGCTTACCCCGCGAACCGGGGGTTTCCCATTTATTTATTTTTATTTCTTTTAGACTCTTTGAAGCACCACTCAGGTGCTACTGAGGCCTTATTCGCAAAACGGTGCCTCCTTTATTGCCGCATAAGGGTTAGTGCCAAAATGGGAGGATTGCCCAGTTCCACTGGGCAGCTCCCCTCAGCAGCTGATGGGAGTAGGATTGATGCCACTCCCACAGCGAGGGAGGAATCCTCCCACCTCACCGGATGCCCTCCCGGCATCATGGGTGAGGAAGGAAAGTAGCGAAGATCAGCTTGATCAATTCGCTTTCGACTGAGGGGAAGACCCGGTTCTCAGTCGGAAATTGCGGGTCCGGATGAGTAAGTTCATCCGCCCATGTGTTAAAGTCGCGCTTCACATGCGACGGTCCTAACATGACCTGGTGGTCATGCAGTGTTAACACAATTTCCATGAGGATGGCCGCATTGGGCATCCTGCGAGTGGAATCGTTAAGCAGGGAGAAAACGTTTCCCTGGTTATCACTAGCAACCAGAATCCTAGTGTGAGAAGCCGAGCCGGCTGCACAAAGCAGAACAGCCCTCACCAAAAGGAGGAGGCCGAAGAGCTCCAAGGCCGCTATCGCCCGCTGCGGGTCCCCAGTAGTGAAGGCCCACGGCTCGCCCTCCGGTGTGATTCTGTGTTGGAACCACTTCACTCGGGACTTGTCGGGGTTGGGCACGTCCGAGCACCAACCACCAACCCATGCATGGTCCGCCTGTTTGCCAGCTCCCGCATCAGATGCCCCCGTCCATGGAAGTGTGGGAGCAAATGGAGATGCCAGTGGGAACCTCTGGTTGAAGAGCTTCCCCAGAAGGATGGCCAGAGCACGAACCAGCTTCGGTGGCCTGCCCGAAGTGGTGCAGGCCTTCTTCCAGCTCCAAAAGGGCTGGAGGAAAGGTTTCGTCAATGGACACGCCGAAGTAGCCCATTGAATCCGGCCCAGGGCTTGTTCCACCTCCTTGCTGGTAAAGATGTCCCCCTGGGCCAGCCGTTTGAGAGTGGCCAGGATTATGACGTGCTTGACTGGAGCCAGCAGCACACAGGGCGTGATTGGGTCCACCACGAATCCCAACCAGGTATTGACCGGGGAGAGCGCCGTCTTCTTCCAAGAAAGCGGGACTCCCAGCGCCAGAAGAGTGGCCAGGATGGCTGTGGCGTCCCAGTCCGCCCTGCTGCATCTGAGGACCCAGCAGTAGTCGTCCACAAAAACTAAGTGCCAGTCCACCTGAGGGAAGATGTAGTACAAGAGTCTGAGCACCAAGGATGCCTTTCTTCCCCAGTACAGTTGTGCCGAGGCCATGCCGTACGTGCCCACTCTATTGACCCACCACCGGTTCTGGATGCAGGCCACCTGGTATTTCCAGTCTTTCTGGAGCACTTTTATGCGCCTGTGGGCCTTGGTGACATCCGCCTTGAGGATGATGAAGGTTTCCCCCTGTGTCGGCGGCTGCCACGTCAGGGGTTCCCCCCTGCTCCCCCCAGGGCGTTCCGTGCCTGGGGGGGTTGGGGGGAATGGGGCCCTCCTATCAGGGCCCTCGGCACCTGGGAGTGGCCCCTTCCCTGAGGGTGTTGACCGCGGAGAGACGTCCAGGCCGCCGGAGGTCTCCATCATCCGCCTGCCCCTATCAGGGCCCTCGGCACCTGGGGGCAGGCTGGTGCTGTGGGGGTCCCTCTCAGGGCCCTCGGCACCTGGGGACTGCCCCTGCACCGGCTGGTGAACATCCCGAGGTTCCTCATCAGTGCCCGAGGATGGGGCTCGGAGTAGATGAGGATGGTCCGCCGCTGTCCTGAGCCAGTGGATGGCATGGAGGCAGTCTCCAACCATCGGTGCGGTGGTCTTCTCCTCCGTGTGAGCCTGGATGTGTGCGTTTGCTCCCCCTTTTGAGCCATCATAGATCGTCCTGATCTTGTCCGACTCATCAATCCCTGCAAGGGGGCCCGGGCAAAGTTCCTCCGGTTTGCAGCGGCACCTCTCTGCCGCCTCGGAGCGAGTGAAGGGCCCGTCCACCATGTCCAAGGCTCGTTCCTCGTAAAAGGTTGATTCGATTTCCTTGGCAAAGAGTTCAGCCGTTGGGTAGTTATCATGAGCCACTGGCGGGGGGGGATCTTCCCCCAGCCAGGCTTCTCCCTTAAGCTCCTCCTTAGTGGGCCAAACTCCCGGGGAGGTCAAGGTAGGGTCCGAGACTCCCAAGGGGACCCCCTCTTTCAGTGTCAGGGGGAACTCCCAATCAGGGTCACCTGAAAGGGATGCCAAGTGCGACACTAAGTCCAGGAGGAAGGGTTGTCCTGGGCATCGTTCATGGAGGTGCCTCGGTCCTAGGATAGCCCGCAGCTCCTCGAGGTCGGTTTCCTGGAAGGGGTGTGTGGTGGCACCTGATGCCAGGGACATCCGGACCTTATCAATCCAGGGCCTGGTAAGGGTCATGATCAGGGCGCCCAAAGTAGCCAAAGGGGAAACTCTCCGAAAAGGGGGGTTGAGCCTCCCCGGGGAAGGTTTCCCCCCCCCATCTCTCAGGGGGCGTGAACGGAAACCCAATTGGACAATCGCAACTCGGTCAGTGAGGCGTGGGACCCGGAAAGCGGGCAGGCATTCGGGGCGGTCCAGGACCTGGTCCCCATGTTCTTCCTTTTCCAGTTGTTCCGCATCTCCGGCCATCGGGGGCATGGGAGATGGGAAGTCTGGACTCATAGTTCCACGAGGGCTTACGGTGTCAGCCTCATGGTGGATGTGCCCGTGCTGGCGGGGCTTCGGGGCATTCTTGCCTCCGGGCTCTGGGCCCTGGTGTGACGAGGAGGGACCGCCTCCCTGATTGGGTCCCCGTTTCCCCCGGGGAGAAGGGCCCCCAGGGGGGTCCGACCCCCTTCCCTTAGGTGGTTCCTTAGGGTTTCCCGGGAATTGTGAGGGGATCCGGATGTGCCCCGGCGCTGCGAGTGACACAGCGATGGCTTTGGCCAGGCCTGCCATCATATCCCAGGGGTATCTGCTGAGAGTCGAGGACTCGCTGGTGCCCACATGTGACTGATGTGTGCACCGCATTTGATCCCAGTCCTGGATTGGGAGATCCGTGGCAAGTGTGGTGGCCTTCTTGACCAGCTGGCCCAGGCGGCACTGGTCGAAGGAGATTGCTGTCAAGGAGTTTTCCTCCACCCAAAGCTGC